TTCATTTAATCGCTGCAGGTCATGTTGCAGTAAACGTACTACATAGACACATTAGAGACATTAAGAGGCTTAGACGACATTAAGAGAACGTTTCTGTTGACAGTCTGTGAAGAGTTCAGTCAAACACAAGCAGAGCAGCTTGACAGAACAAGTCACCAGTAAATGTACGACGTGGGATGTGTCATGGGGGTTGTGTCTGGTTTAAAAATCTGTGCAGACTGTGAGCAGGAGAACGGTTTAAAGTCAAACCTCTACGCTATTGCAGTTTCTCAGTTATTCTCTGTCATATTCTTTCTGGTCAAATGTTTCGTCATCCTATCGTTTCTTAACGTTTGACTCCAGTATCCTCTCTCCTGAGTCTAGGAGTCCTAAAATCAACACTTTCTCCGCGTGATGAAGATGATTGTGGCCGAGGTGAAGCGTCCGTCGTGGTCTTCTCCCCCCCACGAACTCCTGGACATTGCTCATCTCCATCAGCCTACTGTTCATCGGCTATCGCCAGAGACATGAAAATGTTTTCAGCCGTTTAGGCTGCGATTACATGTGACAGTCTTTAGTGAAGACTCTATAAATAGATCATGCCAAGCCCTTCCTAACCCTGCCCGCTAACGGAGCTGCATCCCTCGATGTATTAGATCATTATTTCAAATATAATAAATAATAATATTCCTGATTATTTGATTATCTGAACCCCTGACTGATGACTCAGTGCTCTCTGCAGCAGAGTTTACTTTTGTTCCTGGTCATAAAGTTCACTCCTCATCTTTTAACTTTGAGTATCATCAACACCAAACCTGTCAATATAACACTACCATGTAACATGTAAGCACCTGTAACAACTGTAACACCTGGTAACACTTGTGATCATGGTTGAAGATTGAAGTCTGCTTCTATGAGCCCTTGGTTTACCTCCATTACATCTGTACTGTGAGTCAATGACGCTTCACCGCATTTCTAATATCCAAAGACGTGTTCTGACACTCAGATGTGGATTTTGTCATTATTTATACAGATGTCAGCACCTTAAAGAGGCAGAAACACAGTTGAAGTGTTTGAGCATATGGATGACTCAGCGTTGACTTTGACACAGAATGTGTCATGAATGATCTGAGTCAGTAGTCTTACTAGTTTTGAGCTTTCAACTGCATCTACAGTCTTTAAATGTGTGGAATGGGGGCTCTAGGGGTCGCATGTGACTAAATGTGATAACAATATATTATTGTGTAAGACTTGTGTTAACTGAGAATCGGCACTCAGCAGCAGCAGGATCATTAGTTAGAATAAAATCTAACTGTGTAATGACTGAGTGCTGCAGAGCCTGAGAAGCGGGCGTCCAGCTGGTGCAACGCTCTGTGTTCAACTCCAGTCTACACACACACACACACACACACACACACACACACACACACACACACACACTTACACACCTACACACACAATCTGCTCGTCAGGTGCTCCCTGTCAGTTTCACTTCAACAGAAGAGTTACAAAACACAGGAGTGTGTCTGAGCTCCTGCCATCTGGTTCATTTAATCGCTGCAGGTTCATGTTGCAGTAAACGTACTGACATAAACACATTAGAGACATTAGAGACGTTAGAGACATTAGAGACATTAGAGACATTAGAGACATTAGAGACGTTATCTGTTGACGTCTGTGAAGAGTTTCAGTCAAACACAAGCAGAGCAGCTGACAGCAACAGTAACAGTAACAGTGGAGTGTCACTGCAGTTGTGTCATGTTTAAAATCTGTGCAGACTGTGAGCAGGAGAAGCAGTTTAAAGGTCAAACCTCACGTCATTCAGTTCTCAGTTTATTCTCTCGTCTATTCTTCTGGTCATTTCGTCTCCTAATCGTTTCTAAATTGACTCCAGTATCCTCTCTCCTGCAGTCTAAGGAGTCTTAAAAATCAACTTTCTCCCCGTGATGAAGATGATTGTGGCCGAAGGGGAAGCGTCCGTCGTGGTCTTCTCCCTCCCCACAGAACTCCTGGACATGCTCATCTCCCATCAGCCCTACTTTCATCAGCTAACGCCACAGACACATGAAAATGTTCAGCCGTTTAGCTGCGATTACCTGAGCAGCTTTAGCTGAAGACTCTTATAATAGATCATCCAGCCCCTTCCTGACCCCTGACCCCCGCTAACCCAGCTGCATCACTCATTATTAGATCATTATTTCTAATATAATAATAATAATATTCTGATTATTTATTATCTGAACCCCTGACTGATGACATCAGTGCTCTCTGCAGAAAGAGATTTAACTTTGTTCCTGTCATTAAAGTTCCTCCCTCATCTTTACTTTGAGCTACATCACACCAAACCCCAATAAACAACTACCTGTAACACCTGTAACACCTGTAACACCTGTAACACCTGTAACACCTGTGGTCAGATTCATGGTTGAAGAGTTGAAGGTTGCCTCTATGAGCCCTGGTTTACCTCCATTACATCCCTTTACTGTGAGTCAATGACGCTCTCACACACTTTCTAATATCCAAACTGGATTCTGACATCCAGATGTGGATTTTCATTATTTTACAGATGTCAGCGCCTTAAAGAAGCAGAAACACATTGAAAGTGTTTGAGCAGGAGACTTCAGCGTTGACCTTTGACACAGAATGTGTCATGAAATGATCTGAGCTCAATAGTCCACTTACTAGCTTTTGGAGCTTTCAACTGCATCTCACAGTCTTTAAATGGTGGATGGGGGCGGGCTCAGGGGTCGTCATGTGACCTAAATGTGAATCAACAATATATTATTGTGTAGAACTTGTGTTAACTGGAGAATCGGACCTCAGCAGCAGCAGATCATACGTTAGAATAAAAATCTAACTGTGTAATGACTGAGTGCTCAGAGCCGAGGAGCGGCGTCCAGCTGGCTGCACCGCTCTGTGTTCACTCCAGTCTGCTCTTAACTTTTAAAAAGAAACACCACGTATCTCTGGTTTCATAATGTCTCCAACTCAACTCAACCCTCTGTTATTTGCCAGGTCAGGTGACTGATGAGAGGGTGTGGCCTCCAAAGATAAGCTCTTTAACTGGTCACAGAACATCGTGACCTCACAGTCATCTTTCACCTGGCTGCATCACATTTCAGTCCTGGCCTGCAGAGAGAGAGAGAGAGAGAGAGAGAGAGAGAGAGAGAGAGAGACCTGAAACTCGTAGAAAGACTGTGAACTTTATTGCAAAGAGCTTCCTGTTGATGCATCCATCAGACGCAGAGCAGCATCATTGTCCCTGTGCAGTCGGTCTCTGAGACGCGGTGGAGAGGTGAAGGTTTAATCTCGACCATACGGCGTAACGTCCTGAATGTACAGCTCTGCTACGGATCCTGAACCCATCAGGTCCTGACGAAGCATCTGGTCCAGACCAACTGTCTGTGTTCACCAGCGTCAGATATTATCACTAGTGTCACACCGTGAAATATCACAGTCATTTGTTGATTTTTGGCCTTTAAAGTTTAAATTTCGTCAGTGTGAACTCCCAGGAACGTGTTCTCACTTCACTCTCTCACCTTCCTGACCCTTTATTTTTCATACATACATGACTGCACCTCCACACTTTGGATTTAGTTCAGATTTTTGTGTTCAGTGGCGAAGAAATCTACGACACTGGTGCTTATTTATTCTTATTCTGGCAGGGAGGGTCAGAGATGAGCGACACGCAGCAGCTGGTGTCAGATTATTAACAAAAGAAGAATATCAGCAAACTGAATCTGAGCCGTACTTCTCCTCCTGAACAGACTTTGCAGAGGCCGGCGAGGAGTCAGTCGCCTCCTGGGCTTCTGCTCTGCCTTTGATTGTACGGTTTCAGCGTGCACTCTTACATTACATCTAACATTGCATGTCCGCTCAGTTTCGCTGCTTTTGAAGTGTTTTCAGAGTCCGCTTCTCTCTGGAGACGTTAAATTACATGTGTTCGCGTTGAATTGGGTGAGTACAGGGCAGGATGGGCAGGGTGCAGCGCGGTCAGAGTCTGCGGAGCTATTAATAACCATCGCTGGTGCGGCTCCAACTTTTGATGGCACAGATTACCCACAATCATGCTTTAACCTCAGTCAGCAGTGACGAGGAGCAGCTGAGCCGAGGGCCACCTACCAGGTTTTATATTTTCATGTATTTTCTTCTGCACTCTGTTTTGTGTTGAGTTATAAAAATGTAGTTTGTAAGAACCTTCAGCTGAGACTTTAAGATACAGACATTGTCCAACATCCCAGACTCCCACACTCACTGATCAACTGTTGATTTTCCAGGATATTTTATCGTTTCATTGCAAACTACAGAACATTTTGAGCAGGTAAAAATGTTTTTTGCACACGGATAAATTATCGTTTGAAGACAAAATAATTGCAATGACTTCTTGGGCACATAAAAATATTCTGTACTCTAGTAATTTGCCATATCAACAAGTGTCCAAGGGTTTTAGAGCACAGAGCCGATGAGTCAAACTGAATCAGAAGTTACAGAAGAGATTTTTATTTGTTCAAAATGAATTATTCTTTGCAGATTTATTGGATTATTCAACAGGGACAGTGCACCTTTATAAACACTGATGTAAATGCACAGAATTAGTTTTTAGTTTTCCATCTTTAGGCCCTGGATGTGACACAGTCGTTATAAAAGAAGAATATATGATTATATATGATTAAAGCAGCTGTTTAAAGGTCTGCAGTAAACACAAAGGACATCATTGTCAGCGCACGATACACAACGTGCAAAGCAATAAAATGGAGAAGCGCAGTATAAACTAAGTAAGACGACACTAACAGAAAACATGCAACACAAAGGAAAATAACACACACACTCATGTGCTCACAAAATATATTTCATGTGTTAAAAATGTCCCATTGTGGCCTCAGACTTTCTATAAGTTACTCACATAATTTAACTATTTTTGTTTCTTGTTTTCTATCCTTTCCCTTTATCAGTCTCCACCTCTCCTCCCTCCCTCCCTCCCTCTCTCTTTCCCTCTCTTTCACAACAGTCCCTCCCTCGTCCAGTCACCTCCTTCACTCTGCAGCCACAGCTCCTTCTCCTTCTCTCTTCACCTCCGTCATTCCCTCGCTGTCTCTGCGGTTGGAGAAAGGATGCTGCCCCGCAGACTCCTGGGTCTGCTGGGACTCCTCGTGCTCTGCAAAGGTAAGAAAAACAACAACAAATTATTTCTTCAGCACGTTGAATAGATCCCGAGGTCACAGTGAAAGCTTAACTGTGCTCAGAGCTGCAGTCTTATCTGTGAGGAGGGATTGATCCTGCAGCAAACAGAGATAAAAATAACGCCTGTCGTTCTGCAAATATCCACAAACTTATATTTGTGTGAGTGTGAGTGAAGACAGAAACAGCTTAGTGAAGAGGAGGAAGGAACAGCTTATATAAAGTCCCCCCCCCCCCTCCCCCCCCATCTGCTCCAGGCTGAAGTTTCAAATGGAAGAGCCTGTTTCTGTCTGGTGGTGTAAAAGTAGATATACAGTAGGTCCAACACACACACACACACACACACACACACACACACACACACACACACACACACACACACACACACACACACACACACACACACAGTCTGTTGGTCAGTCATCTGTTAATTCATAGTTGATTAATGTGGGGCTGGATCGGGGCCATTTCCACCCTTTAGCCCCGCCCTCCTGGTTTGACTGACAGCTGTAATCACCTCTTGTGTGGAGGGTTGGGCGGGTGCCGACGGGATGAGGTGTTTTTTTTATAGCAGCCTGATCCTATTGAGGGCAGTGTCGCACCCGTGTCAGCTAATTGCAGAGCGGGGACCGCTACCTGCTGGAGCCAGCTAGCTCTGATGCTAAACGTTAGCCGTTTGCTTTGTTGCTGATCGTTGGATGAGGAGGTGGATACCGCTCTCTGAGCGTGATGTACGGAGCTGGAGCCAGGAGATGATTAGCTTAGCTTAGCATAAAGACATAAGGTGGGTTTACATCCACTTGTTTTTTATAAACATTTGCAAATAAAAAACAAAATGGAAATGAAATTTGTCTAAAGTTAAAGTAAGACACCTATAAACACTCACTAATAAACACATTATATCTCATTTGTTCAAATTGTGGAAAACAATAAACTTTAGAAAATGACAAACGGAGGTTTTAGCTGCTGTCAGACGTAGTCGTTATTTCAGGCGCTCCAGGTTCTGGAAGTAAAAGTTGAAGCTGGTGAAACTCTCCCAGTTACATCATCAGTCCAGAAGATTAAGATCCGTGTCAGAAAATGTCTGCGTAAGGACATAAAAACTACGACATCCAATCACAGAGCTTGAAATAGTTGGTGCGAGTTAAAAGATGCTGAGGAAGCAGATTCTACAGTCTGACACTTTAATCTGGTCAATTTAAATCAGTCAGTTCTGAGTGAACACAGATTCATTGATGAAGGATTTTCAGGACTGTGGCTAAATTTTGATATTGAAAAGTCGTTATCGGACATATCAGTCTCGCTGCACATTTGTCCCACAGACATTAGAGTGGCATCGATTCTCTCATCTCGCTCTCTTGTTGTCTCGTTTCAGACCACCGAAGGTCTCCCTGATTGGAAAAACAACAGAGCCAATCAGAGCCCTCGTGGGCGGGGCTAAAGTTGATTAAAATACTTAGCTATGACAAGGTGTGTTCAGAGTGTTATTAACACGATTGCAGAGTGTATTTCCCTGCAGACTCTTCTCCTTCTCTTCCTGTCTCAGTCTTAAACCAGTGTTTCTGCAACACAAAGAACTTTCTTCTTTAATCTTTTATCTGGACAGTTTCACATCTTTAGGGGACGTGAGAGCAAAACTCTCCTCTTCAGCCTGACCTCATTAAATATGGTCTGCAGTCCCTGCAGTGTGTGGAAGTACTGGATTTAAACTGACATTACTGAAACACTGAGAGGAGCGCACAGGAAAAACAGCTGAGATCGAATGTGAATTCTTCCAAACATTAGCAGGTCGTTAGTGTCAGTTTCAGGCCGCTGCAGGACGGAGACACTTTAAATAGGCTGGGAGACTCTCTGTTATCCTGGATATCTGTTTAATCCTCGCATCACAGAGCTAAAGAGGTCAAAGTAAAACTCACCGTCACAGAGCCAGAAACCAGACGAACCGCTGATCCCAGCATTTACAGTCAGACTGAGTTAACCTTTGACCTTTGTGCAGAGGATGAAACGGGGTCAGACGGTCAAACGTGTCAGCAAATACTTACAGACCACGGCGACGTCTGGCTGTTTTTATCACACGGTGACGTCTCTGTCATTGATTTGCAGCACTGTTTAAAAAGCATAAAAAGCATTTCTTTAGATACTGGAGCACTTTATTAGGAACAGCTGTACACCTGCAGATTCATGCAGTTAGCTAATAAAACCCTGCAGATCCAGGAGCTTCGGTTCACGTTCACATCGAGCCTCAGAATGAGGATAAGAGCGTGATCTCAGAGACTTTAACCGTGGCATGGCGCCGTTTCGTGTCTCCAGGTGAGGAGGAGAGCGGGGAGGGGGAGTACTGCGATAACTTCACAGACCTCAACCTGTCCCACTGCTTCATGGGAACCAGCCTGTACGTGCGGCTGCTCCTCTACACCCGCTCCAACCTCGACTGCGGCCGCGAGCTCGACCACCGCCGCCCGTCCTCGCAGCCGCTCTTCGACCTCTCCCGCCCCACCGCCTTTGTCATCCACGGCTACCGGCCCACCGGAGCGCCCCCCATCTGGATCGACCACATAGTCCGGCTGCTGGCCGAGCAGGAGGACATGAACGTCATCGTGGTGGACTGGAACAAAGGGGCAGCAAACCTCAACTACTTCACCGCTGTGACCTACACGAGGGAGGCCGCCCACAACCTGACCGGGTTCATCATGACCATGGAGGTGAGAGATCATCAGCTCAGACACACATGACCAAAATACTGGACTCAAATCGATTAGATGGACACAGACACAGCTCCAACAGGATGATTGATGATGTTGCTCTTTGACTGCTGGATGTGTAAATATAGAGTTTTATTTTACTCGATTTATTTCATTTTCTTTTTCTCTTTTTCCAAAGACTTCAGAATTACAGCCGAGAGTAGAATAACAGTTTGGAAGTTTGAAAATGTAGACGCCGGGTAAAAGGTCAACATTGTGTTCTTTAGTCTGTTCTGCTGGAGAGGATTCATCCCGTGTTCTGTGTTAAATGTCTGTGTGACAGTGAGATGAGAAAACCTTGAATGTGACGGTGAGTGTTGGACGGTGTCTTCTGCAGGAGGAAGGAGCCGCTCTGAGCTCAGTTCACCTCATCGGCGTCAGTCTGGGAGCTCACCTGGCGGGATTTGTAGGTGCCAACCTGAAGGGGAAGATTGGACGAATCACAGGTGAAATAATCAACGAGCAGGAAGAACATGAAGAATTTATAGGAAGTTCAGTGCAAAGATTTTCAGGGTTAAAAACTTTTACTATATTTTACAGAATAAATTATTTTATTTACTCATTTTCTCTTTTTAAAATCCTTTCTACGATGTTTTTAATGTTTCTATTTCTTGCATCTGTTTTCCTGTGTGTGAGTTTGGCGCCTTCACAGACTCTCCGTCCCTCGGTCTCTGCAGGTCTGGACCCGGCGGGGCCGATGTTCACCAGCGCCACCCCGGAGGAGAGGCTGGACCCCTCGGACGCCATGTTTGTGGACGTACTTCACACCGACATGAACTGTGAGCAACTTAAAATCAACATTACTGACAGTAAATGAGTCAAACACGGTTCTGCTTCCAGGTGATGCTGATTTGACGTCACATGTTGATCTTTGTGCAGTTTCAGAGGCTTTTTTACCTTGATACTTCCTGTTGACAAAAACATTTACTGTCACATGTCGAGATAATCAATAAGCGGCAGTTTAAAACTAAAATTAGGAAACCGATACGATATCAAAAGTCCTACTTCTACACAATGTCGATCAATGACGATGATGATGATGATGATGATGATTGGCTGCAACTAAAATACACATATTCCATCTTCTCAGTATTTTACATGTTGTCCTGAGATACAGGTGAGTTACTCAGGTAATTACAGGTTTATTAAGCGACACCTTCAACCTGTGATGACCGGACATGTGACGGTTTCACTCTGTATTTCCTGCACGTGCAGCGTTTGGACTGGGAGGAGTTCACGGTCACATCGACTTCTACGCCAACGGTGGAGCCGACCAACCCGGGTGTCCCAAAACCATCTTCGCAGGTGAACACACACACACGCACGCACGCACGCACTCACACTCATTGACACACTCACTTTCAGCATCTTCGCCTCTCTCCCACAGGTAAATCTTACTTTGTGTGTGACCACCAGCGCTCGGTGTTTCTGTACCTGTGCGCTCTGAACCGCACCTGCAGCCTCACGGGTTACCCCTGCTCGTCCTACGGAGACTTCATGGACGCGAGGTGTCTGCAGTGCGAGGCCTTTAAACCCGCTTCCTGCCCCGTGCTCGGTAGGTGCGGTGACATCACCTCCAACCCACCCGTGGGATGACTGACCTCTGATCACCTGCGCTTGTCTCACCTGCAGGTTATGACGTCAGCCAGTGGAGAGAGACTCTGCTGCGACGCGGACAGACCAAAGTGTTCTTCAGCACCACGGCCACGCTGCCCTACAGGAGTGAGTCCGACACACCAGAGTCCACACCGGGTTGACTCTGCTCCAGAGTCTAAGATCTCAGAGGGAATTATTGTACTTTTACTTTACTACATTTATCTGGCTGATGTAGGAACTTTGAAGACGAACATTTAAAATATTTTTATTTAACTACTCACGAGTAGTAAAATTAGAAAAACCTTGAATACGACTCTAACATGTTTCTCACGCATGCGCATCAGCAGCTAATATTAAACGTTTTAATAAACAAATAATAAAATATACAGTGAATGTGACGTGACGTTTCACTGCAAAAGAAATGAAGGTGCCACTTCACAATAAGACAACCCTCATAAAGGATTTATAAATGCTTTATAATTAGGTTATTAACACTTAATAAATCATAATTAAACAATTATAAACAAATTACAGCAGTTTTCTTACGTTGATGCAGGCTCACTATTTGGCAACATCAAGTTAATGTTTACTACTCATTAATCTGACTAATGAGTTACTATCATTTATATCAGGTCAAAGGAGCCTCATAGTGACTAATAATGATGTGTTTTAAACTTTACATTAAGGCTCTTTTTACAAGTTATAAATGGTAGTTACTCATTAGTCAGGTTAATGAGAAGCATTAACTTGATCTTGCCAAATAGTGAGCCTGAAAAGTGTGTTATAACTTGTTTATTTATGATTCATAAAGTGTTCAAAGTAATTAATAACCTAATCTTTAAGTAATAATAATAATGTTTGTGTGTGTGTGTGTGTGTGTGTGTGTGTGTGTGGCAGAGCTGAGCTACAGAGTGGACATGGTCACCTGGAACCAGTACCTCCGCTGGGGGGTCGTCTTCATCCGGCTGCACAGCGGCAGAACCTTCACCGAGGCTCGAATCGACCAGTGAGTCTCAGATCAGTCCAGGCATCTCGAATTAAACTGAGATTTACAACTGGGTTTTAATAAAAAGCAAAATAATGTCTGCTCTTAAAGTTTATATCCACCACAGGAGCCGAAATTTTAATTTTATGTCATGTTGATGACATCTCAGGTTAATGATCTTATTGTAACAAAAGTCTGTCTGTTATTGTTATTTATCCATTGATCAGGAGATAAATAACTAATGGTTTCAAGTTAACCATGGCCACTCTGGGCTTCCATACATCTCCCTCTAATGGTCCTCATCCAGATGTTGATGAGTCTGCAGATCAAAGCACTATTTCTATTCATTCATTCATTTTATAACTTGGATTCTCCTCCTGCTTCCTGGCAGTAAGCTCTTCCGGTTGGAGCAGTACACCTCCACCCGCCTGCTGGCCCAGTTCGATGAGGATCTGCAGCACGTCCAGAAGATCTCCCTGCGCATCAGCACCGGCAACGTGATCGGCCCTCGGTACAAAATCAGACTGCTGCGGATACGCTTCACACCTCTGGAGCGTCCTGAGAGGTCAGAGCTCGGCCCACAGCGCTGCTCAGTGAGAAAATGTTTAACTTAACTAATCTAGTTTTCCTCTCCTTCAGGCCGTTAATGTGCCGCTTTGACATCATCATGGAGGAGAACATGGAGGTGGCATTTCGACCTTTGCCCTGCAACTCTGGCCCCTGACTTCCTGCACAGACAAACTTCTTCTTCTATGGAAACACATCTTAACACGCCCCTAACCCGGCCGAAGGACACCCAGACGTCCTCTGGATGCTACAGGGTGTCCCGGCCCCGGGTGCACCTCCAGGGGCCCCACGGGACGAGCTCCAGCCTCCTCGCCGGCTGAAGAAGATGACTAAACAAGCTGTGGATAACTCCTGGTTACTGGACAGTCGGGATATTGTTATGTATGACCTGGAGCCACGTCTCCGCTGGTGCTGACGGGAATTCTGTAAAGCTAATAAGAGCGACCGGTGATAAGCTGTGAGGTCAGGAAACACAGCAGATTAAGGAAAAGAGCTGCTGCAGGAGAGTCTTACATCACGGTGAGATCAGGTCTCATGTTCACCTGCAGTCGGACAGTCAGTACGACCTACTCATCTGTCTCTCATCATATTCACAGCAGCGTAACAAACATGTCGTAATTAGACCACGTCACAACTTTTTAAAAAATCCAGTTTAAATCTGATTTCAAGGAATCATGAAACATACAATCATGTATGTAGAGACAAAACATACATGTGACGTGACCCTGTATTCTGAGTGCAGAAGACATTTGGTCGGTTGCTGTTAATAGAAATAGATTTGCCAGAAAAACTTATTCACAAATTTTATATACATTTCTTCTCGTTTAAAAAATGAATGCACCTTAAATTTACAGAACAGAATAAACTCATATTTACCCAAAATATCAGATGACATGGTGAAAAAAAAAAAAGTTATATACACAATTTTCTGATATATTCCCTTCAGAATCAGCCACGTGAATCAATTTAATCAATATGATGCATAAATAAATACGATAAATAATCATGTATGTTACTGTATGTGGTGACCCCTTGTGTCTGGAAACCAAATTTAATTCAAATAAGAACTTAATCTTGATTTTTCTTTTTTTAACTTTGTATAATCAATAACAGAAATCTGAAATATTTACGTATCAAACCCTTTGATCAGTTTATTGCAGTTCTCTGTGCCTTATTAATTCTTATTAGTATTTGATCAGCGTTCAGATGAATCTGTACTGTAACAGTGATGCTGCTCTGAGGTAAAACACGACCGGAGAGACGCTGTTCTCCTGCCGTGGCTCCGTGTGGAAAATGTGAAAACAAAGGTCGCTAACGACGAGCGTTTGTAGCTCGTTAACTGATCCCCGGGTTTCAAACGAAGCAACTCTTCGGCTGTTAAAGAGTCGAGTTACAAAAAACTGAGCAGCCAATAAAAAGAGAAACGTGTCAGTGTTTTTTTATTATGAATTTTCATCCAATGTTTAAAATAAATATTGATTTCAAAACATATCTGATCCAATACTGATTTATTTTCTGCCACAGATTTTTGATGTTCTGTACAGTGACGTTAAAGTGAGAATGTGAAGCTGTTTTTACTGTCGATCGCAGGAAAAACAAGATTTCAGGAAAAGTAAAATGTTACTGAGGTTCTTCTAAAGTGACGTCAACTCCACCTTTGAACAGACGCTGAGGTTCAGATAGCGACGGAGCTGAGACGACAAACACAGTCCCAGTTTCCTCAAGATGTTTGACAAAATAATTCTCATCACCAGAATCCACTTTTGTGCTTTTCTGGAGCTTTCAGCCACATCTTGTGTCCTTCATCAGCAGATGGAGTTTGGTCAGTTGTCAGAGACACACTTCAGTTGTTATTAGAGCTAATAATTATTTTTCTAAAACACTTCCTGGTTCCAGCTTCTCAAATGTGAAGATTTAAGATGAAACTGAGAATCTTGTTACAGACTAAACAATCGATTGATTGAAAAAAAATAATTAGCACATTAATAACTTGCTAGCTGCAGACTTTTCATCAAACTGACTCCAAACAGCTTCTGTGGTTCACACTGATCTGTAAACATCAGATTTATATTTTGAACCTTTTTCATCAGCTTCTCTCAAGGTAAGAGCCGCAGTGACGCATCACTTCCATCAGCTGGAGACATGTGGCAGTGAGGGAAGTGACAGGTGTGACTCATCGTTAACGTTATGAGTCACACCTGATTTTTCCAACTGGAACATGTCAAATTTCCTGCTGTGAAAATGTCTTTTTTTTTAACCGTTTGCTGTGAAATAACAGTGACCAGATCAGTTTCCAGCTTTGAAACACAACGACACTCAGACAAAATCAAAATGAGAAATGTTTTATTTGAACAGTAACAACTGGAGAGCGGCCTGTGACGTCCGCTCATGTCACCGACAGCGAGGCTGGTGTAACGTGTAATGTTGGACCGTACAGACGAGAAAAACAACGGAGACGGAAAGAAAACGACAGGATGTTAAATTAACAGACCTACATCGTCAACAAGCAGCTAAACCAACACTGGCGATGTGTACTTCTCTGATAACGGGGAGGGAGGATGTGATGATGATCCGTCAGCAGGAAAAATCACTTCACTTGACCTTTTGTGTGTTTTTCTCAATTTCACCTTTTACATTTCTCAGTAACGATTCAGCTGCTGATTTCAACCGGATGAACAGCGACTGTTTGAGTTTTAAATGAAGAGAGAAAGAAATCAACAGGAAGACACACACACAAAAAAAAACAAAAAACGAAGATGTGAAGACAGAAAAAGTGTGAAGAGATAACAAAGTTGGAAAATGTGAAGCTCCAGCTCTGCAGGTGTCAACGTTTCACATTTCACAAACACCGACAGAGCGGAGACTTCTTCACAGTTTTTTTTAAATGCGTCAACATTGTGCTGTTGATCAGAATCAACACGGGCCACAATCGGCCCAAGTCAAGGACGAAACACTTCCCCCCCGATTGGCTGGTTTTTACTAGATGTGTTATCAGTCGAGAACAAGTCAGCAACATCCAAATGAAATACCTTTCCACTGTCCGATCACCAGTTAGGACCTAAGAACAGGAGAGAGAGAGAGAGAGAGGGAGAGAGAGAGGGAGAGAGAGAGACAGAGAGAGAGAGACAGAGACAGAGAGGGAGAGAGAGACAGAGAGACAGAGAGAGAGAGAGAGAGAGGTCAGACAGATCCAGGTCAGGGCTGACAGCTGGGCCACAGCAGAAAGAATAAACAGCAACAATAAAAGAGGATTTGACCAGTTTGAATGGAGAGAGAAGAGAGGAGAGGCGGGAAGACGGGATTGGACGAGCTCAGGTGTGATTAGAAGCTGATGAGTGGGAGGTGGTGGCGGGGAAACCTCCTTAAAGCGGTAACGTGTCAACCGGTCAAAGGTCGAAGGTGGAAGGGAATATTCCACGACCCGACGACCCCAAAAGACTTGACACGAAGCCGCCGGGAGAGAAAGAGGCGGCGGCCTGCAGGGCTGTTACACAACGAGAGCCAGGAGAGGTCAACACCGTAAATCTGACTAAATGTGTCACGGCGAGTCTGACACAGCAGCTGCAGGACGGGACGGAGGAGACGCCTGATGTGAAGACGGCGGGAACAGATTTTTACTGCGAAGCTTTCAAACATTTACAGGCTGTTAGAAGTTAGAGAATATAGATTATTGTTTATTAATGAGCTATAATTAAGATAATCTAACTGAGTGACTGTATATTCTATGATTCAACAGTAATGTACCAGCTCATGCTTCGTGCACGTGTTCACATGTGATTGTTGCCGCTCCTGTGCTGATAAATAAATGTACGTCACGTCGACCCTTGTGTTTTTGTGGACGTGGAAAGAATTCGTGCGTTGGTTTGTCTGAAAAACGTCAACATTAAAAAAGCAAATACTGAAAAACGTTTTACTCTGGAAGGAGAGAACTTCCTGCGCCGTTGTTCTACAGGGGCGTTAACTTACCTGCAGGGTTGTTGCGGTTGTTCTGTCGCCTCAGCGATCCGCCGCGGTTACCGAAGCGATTGCTCCTGCGCTGGGGGCCTGCGCTCGGTCTGTACGGACCTCCTCTCCTCGGTACCTGAAGAGAAGGAGAGAGAAAGGACTGGAGAGTCAGTTCGATGTATTCTCCATCAGACTGGAGGGTCGCAGGTGAAGCTCCACCGTAGCCCGACTCTTTAACACTCACCATGTTGTCGTCTCGTCTCCTGCTTTGCTCCTCGGACCAGGCGGAGAACCCCTCGTCCTCCACCTGAGCCAGCTGCTCACTGTAGTCTAACCCCGGCTCACTGACGGAAACATCAACACAAGTAGCGGGAAAGTTCAGTTATTAAAACACTAAGACACTTACACAGACTGAACTTTGTACTTCAAGTGCAAAACATAGTTTTTTTCCATTTCTGCTGCGGCTGATTATTTCAGTTTTAGTCAGAGAGATTATCAATGAGTTCAGTGGGTTGTAGTGAAGCTGAACTGAGAACTGCTGACAAAAAGATTCTGGTGGTTTTCACATCCTGACACTCAAAAGCTGCCATGAAAAACTTCCTGTGTCTTTAGTTTTTATTACTCAAGCAAAACTTTACCGATCCCCCCGAGAAAAGCTCCAATGCAAAACACACAGATGCAACAGTGGTAAACTAAGTGTAGTCTCACCCGGCTGGACCGAGCTGACGCTGTGACATACTGCTCCCTGGTATCGTGACCTTCACCCCCTCCAGTCTCTCCTGCCGCCTCCTCTCCAGGTCGTGCCTCAGGTCCCCCGGGCCTCGCACCGGCTGCTGGTTCAAACCCTGTCGTCACAACATCAGCGCAATTAATAAAAACAATCCGAGAGCCAAAGCAGAACTAGAGAAAGAGATGTTTATTCACCTGCATCGGTCCCAGTCTGGAGAACAGAGGCTCGTCGTCATCCAGCAGCGAGTTCATGTTGAGACTGAAGCCTCTGCAGAGGAGAGGATTTAAAACCAGGGAAAAAGCTCTGAGTTAAACAAACCTTCAGTGTTTCATCGCTCTTAAGCTCGACGCCTGTGGGAGTGGTGCGTTTCATTTTACTTCACTGGGACGACTGAAAACAACAACTAGCGTCCCCGAGTGAGACGTACCGGTTTGAACTGAACCTCTCATCCAACGTCAGCTCCTCCGTCTCTTCTTCAGAGTAGCCGCCTTTCTGAGGAGCGGAGAAACGCTCGTTCAGGGTGACCCCGTCATCTCTGAAATATTGCTCTGCAAACAAGACAAGAGACAAGGAAACACTCATGTTTTGTGTACGTGCTTCGTTGACTGTATACAAATTACAACTCCTGAGTGACAGGCTGCAAACACAGACAGGTGTGAACTCTGCCCGTTAGATAATTGCAGTGATTTGACAAATTCCGCCAAGATTTAAAATGGTTTGACTTCTGCAGGTGACAGCTGGTTTCCCTGAAACTGTCACTGACCCCCCCCCGAAGTTTAGCGCATGAGCTAGCACAGCTGTTTCCTTCAGACCAACACCTGAGGACCGACTACACTGTGTTACTTGAAAGTAACCTCAATGAACAGTGAATAAGTTTGTGCTGATTTCCTGATACGGACGCGTGTATATATATAATGTATAGTGACCTTTGACGTGGTGCACCAGCGTGATGATCTCCTGTGCAAACGTCCCGGTGTGCGTGGCCGTCTCCCGGTACGTCCCAGAGTGCTCCAGCATGGGCAGGAAGTCCAGACGCTGACGACCCACGTTGACGAGGTCTAAAGAGAGCTGCCTGTCTGAGGAGTAACACAGCGAGCTGCAGAGGAGGAGGAGGAGGAGGAGGAGGGTTAAAAACAACAGCCAACAGACAAATATGGTTTCCCTCAGGATGATGAAGATGAGCCCTTTGGCGCATAAAGATAAATTACCTCCTAGATTTAATCTACCAGCTACGGTGACAGGGAATTCTCTGGTTTATAGATTCTCATAAAACATGGGAAACTTGCTGACATCGCTGCTTCATATAAAGGTTTCAACAGCTGGAAAATGCTGCACGAGTCATTATTTTATGGTCTCTGATGATTTGATAATGACTGTAGCGGGGAAAAAAGTTTAATGACAGACTATAAATGTTTTCAGTGTCTCAGCTTATATTTCTATATGTTCAATAACTTCCTGTGTCCATCACTTCACACCTGAGCAAAAGGAGATAAAAACAGCTTTACCTTACCCGACACACTTACCTTTCATGTGTTCCACAACCGACAGTGTTTAGTGTAACTACATCCTGTATGTTGACTAAAAGCAGGGATGTTCAACCTCTAAATGCACAGAATCAGACAAATTCATAATCTTTTTAAATGATGCCTAAGGAGGGTTTAAAGGGAAAGCTGGAGGAGAGCAGGATTCCCCTCGTTTTAACAGACAGGTGAGTTAAAGGCAAGGTGAAAGTTCACACTTCTTTTCTCGTCTCCAGTGTGTCTTCACGTGCGTTTGGTTCTCAGTTCATCAGGGTTCTCTCATGGTGAACACAGACGCCACAACAGGTTCTCCACCGCTCCGCTCCATCCTCATCTTTCTTTTGGAGACACTTGGCTTGATTTTCTTCAAAGCCAAAGTACATGACGCTGCTCGTGACGTCAACATCTTCTTGACGACGCTTCAGTTTCACGGCTTCAAGAGTTTCCTCTCGACTGATCTGATGAAGCTTCTCCATACTTGTGTCTGTGGGTTCAGTTTCTCCTTTTCGACAGTGTTGACATTTATCAACATTAATAATTATGTTCATGGCTTTAACGTGTCTTTCTCTCCAGTTGGTGACATTTATATTTACTTCATTCTCCTCCATTTTTCAGCTTTTAAGACTTTTATGTTCATGGCTTTTATTCCTCCTTTTAACTTCACAGATGTTGCTCTGATTTCTCTTTTCTTTCTTTCTTTCCCGCACTGATGTTTATGTTCACAGCTTCATTTCTCCTTCCAACAGAGCAGGTGATATTTACGCTCATGGCATCGATTCCTCCGCTCGACAGCACTGAGGACGCTTTCCATTTATAGTCACTGATGACTAAGCTGATGGTTTTATTTTCTCCTCTTTTTAAGATTGATGATGTTTATGTTCATGGATTCAATTTCTTCTTCTTTTATTTTTCCATCTGTCCGTCCTTGTGGCAACCCGGACAAGAATAAGACTCTTTAGTTGCTCGTGTTTGTCTGAGCTTGGATCCGTCTCAGCGTTCCCACAGTGAACATGCTTTGAATCCTCTTTCCAAAATAAGACAGTGACTTAAATAAACATTCAAACACTCCAGCAGCTCGTTTCAGTAGCTGCTCCAATTAAGGAAGAAGTCGATCTTCTCCAAGCCTTAAACACAAATACTCCCTGCTCTTCCACACAGGATGGAAAACAGCCTGGTAAATTTCTTCACCATGACCAACTTGCTCTTCTCTCATTCTTTTGCATCTCCAAAAATCTGATGTCATCTGAACGACCGGATCTCATCCAGCTCAGAAACGCTCTTATCTTCCGTTTGCATATTCCTAATTATTATCCTCTTCATCAGAGAGGGCTCAGATTGACTTCCTTCCTTTAACTGTCTTGGTTTCTTGCTCCGTCATGAGGAAAGTGATGTTGCGTAACAGTTAAGGCTTCACGTCTGAACATCCATGTGTTCACAGAGCTCCGCCCGTCTCTGTCGGCGCTGTTCAACTTCCGTTCTGAGACGAGAGCAGTGATCTGACGTTTCCTCTGCAGGTTTGGTTTTGAGTCTTCTGGGCCTTTTATTTTAGACACTTCGGTCTCAGATGAGTCAGCGGAAACAGTGAAAATCATCTCAACCAGAGGTGGAGGAGCTGGTTCAATACAAAACGATGGAGGATCGTCTCACCTGCAAAACACAAACACTTCTTCTTGTCGACGTCAAATGAGTTGAGTTTTCCATTTTCAGTCAAAGTGGCTCCAAAAAAAAAACTTTCCAACACACATCACAAGACTGAGTGACGACATACGGCGACCTTCCTTCAAAACATACTCCCACAACAGCTGGTGTTTGGAGGTTGTGTGCTGTCACAGTTGCTTTTAGGTAAGAAAACTAGAATAACAGGAAATTAAAAGGCTGGTTCAGGTCGTATTCAACACGCTGTTCAGGATGTCTGTCGTCACAAAAGGCCACAGTGAGTGTGATGGTGCATCTTGTGCAGCCCAGTCCTCTTCAGTCTTCCTTCTTCTAAGACCCTTGTGATAAACAGACACGTCAGATCGCCGGTGGAGGACGAATCTGCTGCCTTAGGGTGAACACCTGCTGTCCTTCAGGTAAATCCTGCCAGAATCTCTTCCTACATATCGTCAAAGCCATCTCCCCCTCTCAGGTTTCCAGCTGACTTGACCAGTAAAGACGTTCAGTCTTGTTCTCAGTAACTGCTCCTTTAGGTCAGGAAACCGAAGCAGATGTGAATTTGTGGATTCGATCATCTGGAAGTCTTGATTTATGAATGAATGAACACCAGGTCCTTTCTTTATTTCCAGTTAATTCCTCCACACAAGCGTCAAGTGCTGAGTGACGTCTCTCACTTATGAAGAATCAGATGCAACTAAAACACTTTGCTTCTTCGCTCGTCTTCTTCTTCTTCATTTTCCCAAAACGTATTTCCACTGGGGATTGATTTGATCAGGATGTTTGAGCTTTTCCACGGTCTTCAGTTTCAATAGCAACATGTTTCTTCCTGGTGTTTTCACATGAAGGCGACTTCAGCTTTGTACGGAGATGTACTGGTTCTTCTGCGAGGCGCCTCGATCGGGTAAAGCGTGTTATCTGGTCGATGCTGGTGCCAGCAGTTCCTTACAGGCGTCGAGACGTTTCATGTAAACATTGAGGATCTGGCAGCTTTTGAATCGTCTTCAACCAAATCCACTTCAATGACAAACGTTATTTTCTCTCCAGTAATTCTCCATCTTCCATCAGCTTGTTTCTTTCCTCTTCCTGCAGCAGCTTTCCGTGAGCTCAGAAACAGAAGTGTGAACTTCCACCACTCACCATTGATAATGTGATTAAGAAATACTCTACCTGTTTTGGTTAACGGGTCGGCTCATGTCCACTTTAATGGTTAACGTTTCCTCCTTTACGGCGCTCATGTTATTGGTTTTCTGATCGTTCCACACGCGCTCCCTCTGACGGGGCATTTTAGGGTCCAAGTCGTCCCTCGGTAGGTGTCGGTCCAGACTTGTGGCCCTGACGTCTTCCCACCGTTCCGCCCAGTTTGGCTCCTCTTCAGTGGGATCCTCGTAACAATCTTGCCTGAAGGGTCGGTACGCTGGTCTTTGCTCTTCATGAGGAGGATCTTGGTATTCCTGGGGGGACTGCTGTAAGCGTGGATGATTCCTGGACGGTCCAGTCCTTCCGCCCTGTCCGCGATTCAACCTCCCCCTGGCCGGGCGAGGACTGCCCCGCCCCTTGTGGATCACAGAACCATCTCGATTACCATATCTCATGGGGTTGGGTCTATCTTGCGGCACAGGGCTCCTCCTCGTTTCAAGATAGTTTGTGTCTCTCCAATTATCTTGTAATCGGCGTCCTCTCATGTCTTCCCGATCATCCAGCCTGCTGTCTGGCGTCCTGAACCGCTCCTGCGAGGAGCTCAGTGGGCGGGGACTCCTCCGTCGATCAAAGTCAGGGTCCAGATCTCTGTGCTCGTCAAAGTGTTCCCACCGTGACGGCTCTCTGCTCTCTGCGATACCGTGATCGTGTTCAATGACGAGTGGCCTCGAGTGATGAGCGCCTCTGTGGAGGAGGCTCCCCTGAACGTCTCCTCCAAACCCATCTCGGGGTGCGTCCACTGAGTAACGCAGTTCCCCAAAGTCCTCCTCATTCCTGTACCTGTGACAGCACAAGAGGAGGTAACACGGTTCAACAATGAGACACGGAACCATCCAATCTTCACATCTGCTTTTTCATTTACACTTGACATTAGCTTTGGATTTATCTCACGATCTATAACCGTTAAGTGTTTGGATTTTCCAGTTACTGATGCAACGTGAATTTGTTAAAAAAAAAAAAAAACTACTTTTGCCACTAAAGCTGCCACTTGCATTAACAACTAGAGTATGTCCAACATGAGACATGCAGAAATGTTAGAGCGCTAGAAGAGCTTGCGAGGAGAGAAAACTTTAAGCCATGCAATATTTGTTAGAATTAGAAATAGTATTTTGTGTTATTAAAAAAAAAAAAAAAAAAAAAAAAAGACAGTGAGGGGTTTTGCTCTATGAAAATTAGAAAGATGAGCATCCTCTGAATTCTTCGTTTCCTTTTTCCCTGCGATAGTGCTTCAAAGCATTTCGCTTAAAATTTACCCAGGGTGATTGGCGTCATCCATTTCTCGTCTTTGCCTTTTAAAGGGGGGGTTCCTCTCTTGATGTGGATCCGGCCTTCGTCTGTCTCTGTTGGGACCCTGTGCGTTCCTCCTTCCTCTTTCCCTATCTACTCCGCCTCTTTGGTCATCTGTTCTCACACCGGGACTGAGGTCTCTGAACCTCCCTCGACCTCTGCCCTGCTCCTCTCTCCAGCCCAGCCCCGCCTCTCTCTGTTGGTGGTCCATGTGAGACCTTCGCACCTGTGGCAACCTTTCCGTCACCACACTCGGGGGGGAGTGAGGAAACCTCCCCCTGTTTCCAAAACTCTGGAAGTGTTCTCTAAACCCCCCTCTGCGTCTATTTCCATCTCCTCCTACATTATGCAGTGGCGAGAGCCCCCGGTCATCGTAGCGCACATCATAATGGGGCGATGGCCGTCTGTGGTAAAACTCCTCCTCGTCTGGACGACGTTGATGCGAAAACTGACGGTCATCTGGGAAAGGAGGGGATCTTCTCTGGCCTTCTGGGTACATGTCTTCCCTGAAGTAGTCCCAGTGCTCTTCAGGATCCTTTCTGAGGCGGTGACTCCGGTCCAGCGGGTTCCCGTCCAGTTCTGCAAGGACTTTGTAAGGATCAAAGTCTGGTTCCTCCCATGGGAACCTCCTGAAAAACAAATATAGAAAAGAAAAAAAGAAATCATGTCACCACTTTCGACAAAGGAACTGAAAAATCTGCAGTCACACCATAATTTATACAAAAGCAAAAATCAAAGTCGATGAATGTAAATCATTATTTCTGGGTTTAAATTTTAGACACAAACAGGAGAAAATAAAATAATGACAAAGTATTTACCTGTAGTGAGGAGATCGCGACCGTGGTCTGGACATTTAGTCAACCTTCAAGAGAAGGAAAGTTTTTTACTAAGATTAACGCTGCAGGTAAAACACAACAAGCCACAGTACAGGCAGCCATTACAAAACTTTTTCATCTAACTAAGAAATCAAGGAGAACTTTCTTTTCACAGGGTGTGACTAACTGTGATTAACTAGACCGTTTGTCCTCCGGGACAAAAATGTGTCTTTACTCTCCTTAAAATACATCGTCATAAAGTGTGACTTAAAGATGATTCAATATTAAAGTTACACAACTTTCAGCAAAATCATTTCATGACGTTTGGAAGAAATTTGTTCTCATATAAACCATATATCAGGATGTATACTCATATCACAAGATATCAATCAAATCAATATCAAATTATAACATTTCAACCATTTTGCACAGCTCCACCATAAAGGTGAGGTTTTTCCAACTTCATGAAAGTATTAGATTCAGACTGCACTGGTTTTAGCTTGGTGGACTGAATAAATTGGATATTGATTGAATGACAAATTATTTATTCTTATTTATACTACAAACTAGTTTCTACTCAGTCTCCATCTAAAGGACACAGCTGTCTGTTTGCAGATACTGACATTAACAAGTCACTGACAAAACAACTTTAACATCTATAATCCAATGAGCATCAATCTTCACTCTGCAGGTGCACAGATCAATATCAGCAGCAGATTGAGTTTCTTCAACCATAAAACCAAGTCACAATTAGTTTTTACAGATTAACAACAACAACTCTTTTTGCCTGCAGGGTTTCTGAAAGTTAGATTTAAGACATTTTTAACACGTTTAATACCCGTCAAACCAGCCGAAGTATGAACCAGAAGGCTTAGAATTGATTACCAAGTGCGTGTATATCACATTTTAGTGAGAATATAACATTAATATAATCACTTTATCATTAAACATGACCTGAATATAAGCAACAGCAGATGGATAACGAATGGATTAATGAAGGAAAAAAAAGTTGCAAGAATTTCACATTAGGTTAAAGGTGTATTTTCGTGAGGTGCCAGACACCTCACTAAAACAACATACAAAACAACCGTTATGGGTAATGTCAGTTTTAATACCCTTTAATAAAAAATAACACCACTGCTATTTAAGCTAAGCTAACGTTACGCAGTCGACTTACCTCCGTGCGCGTCACACGCCAGGCTACCGAGGCTAACGTTAGCTAAAGCTAGGACGAGCACACCAAAAACACAGCGATATAACAGTTTGTAATGTTAAAACACAACCCTATGTATTAGCAAATATACCCTCAATCTAGCTAAATGCGCTGAGCTTTCTGCTGAAGTCAGAAAATGGCTGTATCGTCGTTGACTTCGGTAACATCCGCAAACTGCCAAACATCAACGAGATCATCACTTCCGCTGCGTTCTTTTCAGAATAAAACCATTGGTTGCGCGAACCCACAGCTCCACAGCAACAAATTAAACAGACTGAATATAAAGATTTCTATAAAGATATTTATATGCAGTCTGTGCTGTCAAACAACAAATCAACAGTGGTTGAATTACTCAATATAAAAGTAATAACACCACAGTGTAAAAATGCAGAAGTATTATTAGAAACGTGCTTGAATCACAAAAGTAAAAGTGCTCATTGTGCAGACTGTTCGATTTCAGGATTATAAAATTTTGTGTTGTTGTATTATTTTCATTGAAGAATTAACATGAAAGAAGTATTTCAATGAGTTAGTGTGTTGGTACTTTATGACGTACATTATATTTTATGAACTGATTATGTGTAACTATAGTTGTTAGATAAATGTAGAGGACTAAAACTTACAATATCTCCCCCTGAAATGTTGTGAAGTAGATATATAAAGTATTTAGAAGAACTTGTAAAATTTCAGCGCCAATAATTGCAGCCAAATTAGTCTGAAAAGGTCACTGCGAATATGGAAGGTCATCACTGAATATAAACCTGAGATGGGCTACAGAACTTATTCTACAACTCTACCACTTAATTGTCCATGTCCTGATAAAGTGCAGCAGGTTTTATTAATGCAGTGTGAAAGTTTACAAATTCTCCTTATTTTCTAATAATAATGTGGAATAACAAATTAAATAGTTTTCTTGTGTTGAGCTAATAGATAAAAAATCATGGAAAACAATTTCCACCAGGAAAACTTTAAATAAGGATGAACATTTATTAGACTAAACTTATGACACAACTCAAATTTTGGGCTCTTTCACCTTTATCACAATTTTGATTTAGTGTCTCATAAATGTGACTTTATATCTCATTGTATTGATTTAAAAACTTATAATTATGACTTACCATTAATATTTCTATTTCCATTCTTAACATTTTGTCAGTGATGATAGTATCTTCTTTGTACCATCACACTCTGTGCGACTAGGTGAGAGAAATGTTTTATTTTGAAGGTTGAAAGGCTAAAAAGGAAGTGATGTTGTGTTCTTAATAATATTTTTTTATCTCATAACTTCAGGTTAAAGCAGCTGTGCAAGTAAAAATTCATTATTCACTCCAATTTTTGCAGATCAGTTTTAATTTCAGTGCAGCATAAAGTCAATACACAGTGAGATATAATGAGAAATAAGTGGCTTCATCAAGCCCTACACTAGATTTGTCATTTCATACGTCACTTATTATGAATGTCAAAGACTAAACATCTCACACAGACTGAATCTTTATTATTTCACTTCAATCTGTCACCGGCGTCTGTTTCCCGTTATTATACATTTGTTTATTTATCCAGCTCACGGACACAAATGGCTTGATGAAGTTTATTGTTCTTTTTCAGCAGTTATCCATGCACCACATCTACAATGATATATTCCACCAAGCTGCAGTGTCACAGAGTTTAAGTAATATTAGGATAAACATTATGTCCTTTATTTTTATGTCATATACAAGGGGACCCAGGAGACCCTCTTACAATGAGTTTCAGCAGAATCTGGAGGAATGATGAGCTAACATGGAGAGAGGGAAGCCGACAGGAGCGGGAAAACGTAAAACAACGAGCCTTCAGTGTGAAACTTTTCCACAACAGGAAAGTTTTTCAAGAACTCTCTTTGAACCCGGATCCAATTTAGGTTTGTTTGCCCCCTAAAAAAAAAAACCATACTTTCACCATCACCATCTGTCTTTGCTGTTTTACATGGGAATATGAACCAGATGACCACAACATGAACTAAAGCTGTTGCTGTTGAGGACACAGAGGTCAAGTATGATTTCTGGACATTTTGAAGGATTTACATTCTACAGTTACACACATACTACACAGGTTGCATTTTAAGGCTGATTCTAATATATTCTGACTGTTTTTAGGCCCCAAAAAAAACCTCAACAGATGAAATTTAAAAAACTAATTGGTAAGTATTTTACCCCAGAGAAGCAAACATGGCACCTGACCAAAATATAGTGAAATCAAATGTACAAAAGTGGCACTGCAGAATGAATAAAATGTGTTTTTTCTTAAATACTTCTTAAATTTGTAGAGAGTTCAGTTGGAGGCTGTTGAAAAAGAATCTAGTATTCTCCACCAGAATGAACAACTGGCACCAGACCATAAAGTAACAGTTGAATAAATACAACAGGATTTTATGCTAAACGGTTGGTTTAAATTTTCATAGGTGGGTGGGGTTCTGCTGGGGAGATGTAGACTATGACATCAGCATTTTTAAAATCCTGGTTATGGTCCTGATCATCCACACAGTGAATGTGGGGCGTTTGGGGCCCCTGAGGGTCGGAGGGGGATTTGCGTGTTTAGTTCAAATGGTGATCCAACCTTCCTTTCACAGAATCGTTTCTCTAGTTCCCGGTCCTCTTAGTGGAGAACGGCCTTTAAACAGCGAGAAGTGCACATGCTGGATGAAACAGCCCCAGGGTGAAGCACAGAGGGAAGATGCTAACTGCACGGAGGTTTAAGGCCTCAGAGGTGATGAGCTGCGAGGTGGTGAACGCTGTTTAACACCAGAGTCTGTTCTGAATCGGTGAGGTATATTTTAGTTGGGGGAATGAGCTGAGGTGGAGATGTAAGCGTCTTCAGAGCAGTGAAACACACAACTACTGTTAAGTACTATAAACTGCAGCTTGCATGGTTACAGTCAGTGCCAGACAAATACACAACACACTGTGTCAATATTTTCCTGACCTGCAGATAAAAATACAGGACATTTTGTTTTGTTTTTTACCCTTTTCCCTCCAACTTTTCTTCATATCCTTGCTGTGGATCGTTGCTAGTCCACAAAACGTCCATCAGTTAAGTGACGAGCGGCAGAGAAACCAAAGCTATAGGCTCTACGTGTTAGGGAGCGACAGTGGGGTTATATGTGATAGTTTTCTCCAGCATCAGGATGACAGGAAATCTACAGCAGACTGGGTTTTATAGAAGCAGGAGTCGCTGTCAGCAGAAGAGCAGGCGAGCGGTGGGATAAACACACAGTAACCATCAGAAACACTGACGAGAAAGAGAGAAACTCCCACACTGTTCAAGTACAAAGCTACAACCATAAAACAGCTCGACTAGCTAGTCCTCACTGAAGATGCTACACAGGATTCACACAACAGCGTCTGTTTTACGGCGTCCCTCCAGATAAACTGCTACAGAGCCGCTGCCCGTCCCTCCCACGACAGACTCCTCCACCCAGTCGGATCTATTTACAGAGTTTTACAAAAGCAGGGGTGAGAGATTAAAGCGGATGATACTCGAGTGATATTTGGCGGCAGTGCAGCTGGGCAATGTTGGCTTGGAGAGGAACAGGTGTCGAGGAGACGTTCTGCACATCTCTACACCTTCAGAGGACTGAGATCAAGTCCAACGTCAGCAGCTTTTGTGAGATGTCTTAAATGCAAAACCATGTGTAATCTGTAAATGAAAAGCAGGTTAATGTGTACAGATATTAGCTGACACTGACCTTGAACTACCCCACCTTATACCTACAAGTTTTATTTGCATAAACCTGACCATGAACTTATGTTTACAGTCATTTTACTTCCTAAACTTCTTCTTTTCAAAGGACAAACATGCAAGACTCCAAGAATTCCTCTTATGACAATCATGTCTTAAATATGTTTCACATTATTTGCAGGATTTTATCAAACTCTGTTTCTAAGAGTCAAAATTGCCCATTTGCACTGCTGCCTGTAAATGTTGCCAGAAGTTTGACAGGTGTGTGTGTGTGTGTGTGTGTGTGTGTGTGGTTTGGTAATACAGATGATAAATCAGGTGTTCAGCTGTTGTTCCTTGTGGAGATGATTGTTGTTGTTGTTGTTGTTGTTGTTGATGGTGATGGTCTCTTGGTCTGTTTGTCCTGGCTCCTGTTTCTACTGAACCAGCTCCTGAAAAAGCCCTGAAGGAGAAAAAGAAGACAAAGCAGAAAACTGTTCAAAATCCATCTCCCTGCCTCTTTAGACATTAAATACCATCAGATTCCTGCAGCTCCTTGTTTCACTATTTTCATTTTGTGCATAATATTCTGACCGGCAGCTGCACATCACGACTACTGGAATAAACAGTTCCAGCTTTGATATTACCCTGGTTTATTCCAGGAGTTATGTTTTGTTTGTTAAAGTCCATTTTAGTCCTTAAAAGAACAAAAACAAAGTGTAATAATGACATGCTGCTGTGGTTTCACATTGGGTTACATCCTGGACCAGTTCAGCGTCAGGTGTAAATTTCACTGAACTATTCTGTTGTATTGGTCTAGAGACTGAGATATCCTGACTTCTCATGTGGGTCAAGCTTCAAAAACACTGCATCCTACAACTCCCACAATGCAACTTGACAGCATCTTTCAGTAGAGCCTTCCTGTCTTGGAAACTGCTCTTTACCACCTGTCGTTCTGTCTCTACCTGGCTACTGGACGTCCAGCTTGCTCGGGCCGACGCTGTGGATGAGCTGGGAGGATTCAGAGGCGGCGCTGTACGCCTGAATCAGCAGGTTCTTGTTGAGGTCTCCGACACCGCTGCCGGCCTGCAACTTTGGGTAAGGGGGCGTTTCTGCACCCTGTTGCTGTCCTTGCCCCTGGGCGTCGAGGTCCATCAGGTGCTCCAGAGGGCAGCCGTCCGTTACCTCGGTGACGGGTGAAAACTCCTGAGCGCTCGCCTGCTCCTCCCTGGACACAGGACTGATGGAGACAGATGGAGAGCTTAAAGGAACAATGATGACAGAGACACAATATTTATTTATTAGCACTTTTCAAAACACAGCTGCAGCATTAAATCAATATTCAGCCACTTGACGTTCGTCTTTAGGTTTAGCTGTGAACATGTGCCACTAGGTCAGATCTGGAAGAACGAAGCCTCTGTGTTGGAACTAGGGCCAAAATGATAAGTCGGATAAATAAACAAAAAGTTAATGAGTAACTAATTTGATTATCAGTTAAACCAATTAACATTCCCTCATTCCAGCTTCTTCGATTATAATGATCTGCTGTTCTTTGTCTTATCTGATAGTAAATCAATAATTCAGACTCTACTGATCAGACAAAAAGCAATTAGGGTTTTAGTAAATTGTAAAGAGCATTTTTAACTAATTTCTGGCTTTTGTGAGACCAAACAATTCATCAATAATCAGAAACAAATGGAAATGGATTGATCATCGGCTGCAGCACTAATCTGAACAATGACATATAAATGAATCTTTCCTCCTTCATTTGAGACACTCGATACTAAACACTGGATGTCTGGATGAGCAGAATTAACATGGGAAGACAATGAGATGCACAACTGCAGAAAAGAGGCCACAAAGGCTGACTGGTGTGTGGCGAGTCACCTCAATGCAGACAAGACTTGGCAGACACTAAAATGAAGCAGAGACATGTATGAAAAAGAAACTGCGAGTGATTCTTTGCATCGGACAAACATGCTGAGTCAACGTTTAAATTCATGTTATATTTTTAAAAATCAATGTGAAACTGAGTGTTAAGTTCTTCAGTGTCACAGTCACACAGAGCTGAAAACACCTGAGAGTCATGTGGACCTACCTGACGTCCATGGACTGGACTCCGTCAGACAGCTCGTCCACACAGCTCTTATTCTCCAGGGGTCCCAGCATGATGACGGGGGCTTCAGCGGGAGTCGAGGTGTCCTCCTCCAGAGCGACCGGAGCTTCGGCTCTCAGGTCAGATGCTGCGAGAACACAGTGATATCAGAAACGTGCTTCTCTGAGGAATCAATCTATTTTCTAACTTAAGTGTTGTTTTTCATTTTGTTGTTTTGTTGTTGTCAGTGAGACAAACGACAGATACAACCTCGAGTATCTCAGTCTTCACGTCCCTCAGGCTGAGAAGACTTTACATTTCTGCTTTAATGTTCCAGGTGATAAAAAATAAAGTGTGAGAAGCTCTTCCACTGTGTGTTCAGGTGATGTGCAGTAAACATGGTGTTCACTGTTTGTGGAGACATTTCTGTCCTGATCATCTGTTTGGCAGATGCTGAAACTCGGTGTGTGACACTGCAGAGATTAGTGTGTTTCACCTGAACTGAGCTGTGAGTTCATCAAACGCTGCAGTGATGTCGGTGATGCTGTTACTGCCAACAACCACCAGGAGGCACTGTCCCCCTGCCTGCCTAACACTGCTGAGTCACACTGCAGCTGCAGCTGATCTCACTCAATTTACTCAAAACATAATCATGTTGGAGAAACAAAAAAACAGGTAAAAATATTTTACAGTAAAAAACATGAAGAAAGAAAAATGACGAGGAGAAAACAAACAACAAACAACAAACAACAAACAACAAACGAGTAAAAGAACAAACGAAATAAAAGAGCAAATAAATTCTGCTGCTGCAGATAATGAAGCCATCAGGAAGATGAGGGCATGAGTTCAGAAGTGTGTGTGTGTGTGTGTGTGTGTGTGTGTGTGTGTGTGTGTGTGTGTGTGTGTGTGTGTGTGTGCATCGGAGGTAGGACATATCTAACATTCACCTGAGGCACCAGATGGAGGCTCCACTTCACTTTTCCTTGTTCTTTTCATAATCTCCTCGATTCTCTGTTCAAACACATAAAACACGGCTCAAACAAAAATAAGAAATCTCCATTTAGTAAGATTTCTGGAGCTTGTGGTCAGATTTTATGATCTTCCTCAGCAGATAGAGTTTTCTCGGTTCTCATAACATTGTAAATGTTCAAATTCACATTCCATTGCTGGATGACAAAAATATTTCATCGGGGTTTCTCTTCATGACAACTGGACAGAATCAGTGTGCTGATGAAGATCATGTGATATGATCAAAAGGTCTAGAACGGCAACTAAATGGAGCTTGTGGTGGGATTGTTTTGCCAACTGCTGTTTGTAAGATTTATTTTAAGTGGTAGTACTATTGCTTAATGTTTGTCCTTTATTCTGAAACATATACATACCATATATACTGTGTAAGTACATATATACGTATATACATATATACGTATATATGAATATATCTGTGCTACCTTCTTCCTCTGCAGTCGCTCCTGCTCCTCCTGGATGTGCAGCAGCTCTCTCTCCTGTCTCTTCCTCTCAGCCTCTTTCTGGGCTCGCAGGAACGCCTCCTCCCTCTGAAAAACATCCAGGAACATCCAGTCATTCACCTTCTCTGTCTCTGAACTACACTCTGTAAAACCACGTAGATTATAATTTATCACCCGTATCTTCATCAAACCGCTCAGAGTGTTAAAGATATCACTGAAAACCAGCAGGGACATTTATATCATTATATGATTTTGTCAGTGACACAGAAGTCAGACTAAAAGACTTCAGCTCTTAACTGAAGTTCAACTCACACTGAAGGATTCTGGGATATTTTCTAGATAAACACAGTAAAACAGACGGTGACCTCTCTGTCCAGCTGATCGTGCATGTCCTTCCATCTCTGCTCCTTCTGTCGTCTCTCCTCCTCCTCCTTGCTCCTCCTCTCCTCCTCCCTCCTCACTCTCTCCTCCTCGGCCTGCTGTGCAGCTTTCTCCTGTCGCTCCCTCGCCTCCTGCTGCCTCCTCTGCTCCTCCTCAGCCCTCAGCCTGAAGGAGCACGAGAGGGTTGAACCACCAAAATAATAATCGGACATTTCTATCATCTGGATCCCGTCGTTTGTTTTCTGTGATTATTCTCTGAAACATCATTAAAGACGAGTCGTGTTTGTTAGAACTGAAGCTGAATCCAGAACAAAAAGTACTAACACAACTGACTGGACATTATTGATCGCTGTGATGGGCAATGATGGGTGAAACTAGGTCTAATCAATATTTATTGTTGACTGTTTGTCAGAAAAATAATATTTTCCACTGAAGCATCGACAAAACAACAACATTGATCGAATTGTAAATTAATAAAACGCAGTTTAATCGTCCAGGTGATTAAACTAAAACATCGCTCTGCAGTAGTTACTGTTGAAAAGGTTGGAATTATCCTTTAAGAATCACATGGTCAGTTATAGTATCATAGACAGTAGGTACAAGATCACACACCTCTCCTCCTCCTGCCGTTGTCTCTCCTCCTGCTCCTTCTGTATTCGGGCCAGACGTCGTCTCTCTGCCAGCAGCCTGGACGCCTCCTCGGCATCCGTCGTCCCACCGACGCTCCTGCCCGTGGGTGTGCCTGGAGACTCTGTGCGTGGAGATGAGGGAGGGTTGATTCTGTCTGACACCGACACTGATGTCATCAAAAACAAAGTCACACATGACGCCCGGCGCCTTTACCTGCGGTCAGTTCTCTGCTGGTGGATTTCGGGATCTTCTTCTCTGAAGCTTCAGATTTGGTCGATTTCCTCTCCAGGGTGCCGTGACCTTTGACCTCAGAGTGACCTCTGTCGTCGGTGCCGGGGGTGGTGGCTCTCTGCCTGAGCGGGGAGGGCGGGTACTGTCCCGGAGAGCAGGGAGACTGGGCACGACTCCTGGTCGACTTCACCCTAAAAAACCCACGACAGCATCGGATCATCTGGACTGTAATCCAGGTGTGTGTGTGTGTGTGTGTGTGTGTGTGTGTGTGTGTGTGTGTGTGTGTGTGTGTGTGGGTGTGTGTGTGTGTGTGTGTCTGTGTGTGTGTTTCATACCTTTTTGGTGTGGCCGGGCCTTTGCTGTTGGCCCTGAAGGAAGAACTGCGAACCGGTGTGTTTGGAGTCTCCCCCTGCGAATCACATGAATCAATTAATTAATATTAATAATGATATGAACAAAGAAAATCCACCTGCTGGAGGTCAAGAAGAGCTGAAGAAGAGCAGGTTATTACTGACTGTATAGAAACATACAGCCTAGAAGGACTGATGCACGCTGCAGCTTTCTGACTCACTCGCTCAATACGACATGAATTTTTAAACATGAGTATAACTACTGAAAACAACATGAGACAAACACTGACAAGCCTGTGAGCTACATAAGAGTCTGACATAATGAACTCTTCCCGTCACGTCAAACTGATCCTGATCCGTGTGTGTGTGTGTGTGTGTGTGTGTGTGTGTGTGTGTGAGGTCTGACCGTGGGTGTTTTGGCTCTGGACGCCTCCTCAGGGAGTCCAGCGATGCTCCTGCGGTTGGAGGAACTTCTGTATGGTCTGTGGTTGCTGGGGGAAGCTGTTCGATGGGACACAAAAGACACTGATGCGTCACAAACCAACACACACACACACGTGCACACACACACAGATGGATTGAAAAATCCACACAAAAACACAAATGTAGACACCGATGATTGACACAGAGAAATCAGAAACTCCGGTGAGTGAAGATCTTTTTATCAAGTTCAATTAAAGTTATTGTTAAAATATTTTGTTCAGTCTTCAAACATTTTCTATGAATGACTCGTATTGAGATTTTGAACCTACTTTCACATTTAGCCACTCTTCTGTCTGGATTCACTCCATTATGTTCAGTATGCCTTTACCTAATCCTAATCCATTGCCTAGGCAAGGCAACAGTATAATTTCCACTGGGAATGGGGATTACATGACCCCCCCCCCACCTCCACTTTTATCGCCTCTGACTTTCTAACTGAAATCTCTCTGAACAGTGTCTTCTTATTTTCCAGCCTCCAAAAACCCACAGAAGACTGAGGAGAGGAGCTCAGAGCTCTAAGCTTTACAGGCTTTTTTCTCTGGGTTTTGCCTCTCAGGCTCGTTAGGCTCCGCCCTGTTTCCTCTCTGAGGCTCCTGCAGCCGGGGGGGGGGGGGGGCTGCAGGCACCACTCAGGACAGAGATAACTACCTCCTTCTCTGCATTACTTACAGTTCAGTCATAGTTTTACTATCAGCATGATGTGAACCATGATCACTCGTGTTGTTTAATCTACAGATCATTCAAAGCTCCATATTTTCTTCTTCTGTGTTTTATATTATACAGAAGAGAGGAGGCTCTGAGCCTCTCTTCTGATTGGCTGACTGTTTTCTGAGTGATCCAATAAAAATACAGCAGATTTCAGGTAAAAACACTCAGAGAAACCAAATCCTGCAAGGTTTGGATGGTGGGTCCAGGTGGGCGGGGCTTGGTGACTGCTTTGTTGTGACATCACAAAGTTCCAGAAGTCCTGACGGCTGGTTTTAAGGCTCAGTTTCTGAATACAGGCTGTGTGCATTTCTCTGTGGACTGAGGCTTTGATACTTTCACAGTATTAATATAGAAGCTAGAGCTGATCTATAATCACACTACACATGGACACAGACCTTTACACTGGAGGAGCTTTAACATTAGATCTACTTGGCATTTACCTTTCGAGCAACTACAGGTTCTCATCATGCTGCAGAATCAGACGTGAATCTCTCTCTGCATCCAAAAATCTATAGTTTCATTGAATGAATTGAATCTTTCTCACCTCTCTCTGGTGAGTGGAGGGCGGCTGAAGAGTTGGAGAGCTGTTTGTTGATTGGCGGGTCCATGGCGGGTGGAGACAGGAAATCAACAACTGATAAAATAAAAAAAAGTGTAAAACAAAAAATCACAAATGAGCAACACAGACCCAGAGAGAGCAGCACAGACTTGCTGCAGCTGCTGTACTGACTGATGATGGCAATGTCACGAATACGTTCAATAAACGTCCTGATCCCAAAACAAACACCCATCACACGACAAACACAAAACTGCCAGCTCGCACAGAAAATAATCCCGCCGATCGATGAGCCATGCAGGCCGCTGAATGAATTAACCTTGGTGATGTAAGACAGAAATGAAGCAGCAGAACAGAGAGCGGAGCCTCGTCTGCAACCTGCTTCATCATGACATGGAGGCTGATGATACAGAGATGCAGCTGATGCAGTCCCATGAAACAGAGAGGAAAATGTTTCCTATAGCACCTGAAGGCACCGTGACGAGAGAAGATAATAGACAGCTAAAGTCTGGAGGAGACATGAAACATGTTAAAAATACTTTTTCTATTACTGCATTTAATGCTTATATCATATGTCAAAAACTGTCTTAATTCTACACTCTTTTAGAGTGACTAAGCAAAACCTGTACCGATAAAAAACACATTATCAGTACATTTACACAATGTCCATTAATTTGTTTTATCCATTTAATAAACTAAAAAAACTAAAGAAATAAATACAGTAAATAAAAGATGAAGAAATATAATGGTTTTTAATGGATTTAACTATTTTTCACATGGAGAAATTTAATTAAAGAAACTTAACACAAACTGTTTCTTGCAAATTAATTACAGATGTGAAATTACTTTCACTTTTGCCCTAAAACATAAACTGTGTTCACATGCTGCACTAGTTTGAAAGATGACAAATAATCCTCAATCTTCTCATTGGTTTGCACATATTCTAATTTAAGATTGATTTGATATATTTGACATGAATCTATTTCTTGTTCATGTTATTAGTTTATTTTATGCTCGTTGAGCAACAGACAGAGTCAGAGCTGTAAGTGAGGCAGAGTGAGACTCTGACCCAGCCTCAACTCCTCTTCCCCTCTAATGATCCTCTCTGCATCCGCCCTGCGCTCTTACTGCAGGCCTCCAACAAAGATGGAGACGTGTGATATTACAAACCGATGCTCTTATGTTTCTCCACAGTCTGGTGAAGAAGTAAGAACCTTAAAATACAATAAAAAATGTGAGTTTTTGTTTAATTCCCCTCAGGGTGTGAGCTGGTTCAGTTCAGTGCAGGGGGGGGGGGGGGTCTACTCTGGCTGCATCTGTAATATTGGACAGGGATGATTGGAAATGTCTGGTGGATGGTGTGGATGGTGTGTGTGTGTGTGTGTGTGTGTGTGTGTGTGTGTGTGTGTGTGGGAGTGTGTTTCGATCTGATTGCACTTGCCTGTGCGGAGGTGGGGTCTAATAAGTTTCACAGATAGCTACAGGGTGGATGTCTGGTACGGTCTGGTATGATGTATGGTGTGTGTGGGTGTGTGTGTGTGTGTGTGTGTGTGGGTGTGTGGGTGTGTGTGTGGGTGTGTGTGTGGGTGTATAGAGAAGCTGGGCGTTTTATGGACTGGGCTCCCTGCTGAGAACGATATGTATGCATCGCTAAACACGGCTCTGGGCCAGGAAGACAGGAAGTGGAGCAGCCCTTTGTTGTGATAATGCTGGGGGTGGGGGAGCATGTATGTGTGTGTGCATGTGTGTGAGTGTGTGTGACACTCATTAGCCACAAAGGAGAACATGAGTGGGAATATGAACTGTGAACTGCAGATGAAAACGGGCTCTTTCTGTTACACACCCACAAATCCAGACAGAGAAACACAGATAGTCTGAAGACACACAGTCAGTGCTGGAGGTCACAGTTCTTTGTCATTTCCTCTCTGTTATTTCTTTTACTTCAGCTTGATGGTTTTATGTTGCGTTTATAAGCAGCATATAAACATTTAATGAATGGTTTATAACACACTGTAATGCAGTTATAAGCAGATATAAGTGTTTATAACTATAACTCCTCCTGTGGGCACATTAGTGGATTCTGCTGTAGAAACAGATAATCCAGTAAAACACATAATATATAATGTTTTCAGGCGAATTTTAAATGTTACTATACATTTCAGATATCCTTATAGTTATTATTAGTTTATTTTAATCAATAATGTTTGTAAATGCTAAAGAGGGGAATTTAAAGTGAAGTAAGGAGTAGTTTTTGCAGAGGGTGTTAAGCTTCTTGAGAAGCTTGAGATATTTTTGTCTTGAAGCTTCATTATAATCATTTCAGTAAACATCATATCTTTACACATGTGGCGTCTCCATTAAATAAAATCAAGCAGAGATGTGATTTCTCTCTGTGGGACTGGATGTGCAGTTGTTTTCATTGTGAATCAAAGTTACTAAAGAAGGTCACACTAGTAAAAATCTGAACAGTAATTGGCTGTAATATGTAAATATCACACAGCTGATAATCACACAGGAGAACCAAGGTCCATGAAGTTATTTTAAATCTTCCGCAGCATAAATTTAAAATCAAGTCAGCAGTGTTCGTGCAGACGATTCAAGTTATAAAAGCGGCTTGAAAGGCGCTATAAAAATCTAAGTTATTATCATTATTATTATTATTATAAACGGCAGAGATTCAGGCTTGAATATAAAATTATTTTCAGCAACTCAAACCACATGTTCCTCTGGGTGATCGAGGCAACGATAAAGAAAAGAAAAAATTGTTCCCGCATCAAACACCTTGAGATTCAGCTGCAGATTTTCCCAGTGGGTTCTGCAAAGATACTTCGGAGCAGCATTAATGTGTGCACTGGAGGGTTTGCAGCATTTCCTGAACCAGACTGTGCAGAAAATAAGAAGCCTGGAAACAGCTAAATGAATTTCTACCTAGACAATAAATCTAAAAATAAATAATCTTTCACTTTCTCGTTGTTCGTTTTATCTCCATTTGGGGCGTCGGCTCATCTCCGATGCTGGATGTCGCTCTATGTATTTGTTCGACCACAGAGAGGCGCAGTTTGTAGCTCACATTTTGAAACTTGTGCGAACTACAGTTTTCCAGACACGCTGATGACGCATCTCTACGTAAAGATATGTATGTTCATCAGTGGTGAAGCGCGTTCTGAGTGTTTTCAACTGTAACTATGAGTTTCTCCAACACTGCACTGGACTGAGTGAGACACACTGCAGGACGACGTTACAGCCGGTGAGACAGCACAGACACGTCCACAGACATGCAGACAGGGGAGCAGCTGCAGGTGAGACAGCAGGGGTGGTGGCAGGGAAGCGGTGTGGGCGTGGCACACAGAGAGTCATGTGATCTGTACCGTTACGGGATTGGCCGGCACTGGAAGCAGCGGGGGGCTCATTGGGCTGAGCGGAGCCAATGGCATGGCAGGGCGGGGTCTTAGGGTTACCTGGGCAGCAGGTGAAGCAGAGCGGAGAAAAGCAAAGCAGTTACACACTCACACACACTCGGATGCACCAACACATGACACTCGTCGAAACACACGGGAGAGACACACTGGGAACAACAACCGGCCTCCATCCACACACGCGGATGTAAACACAAGATTCCCAGCAGGAAGCGTCGCATCGAAACCTTCAGCTGGATAAAACAAGATTATAGATGCAACATGAAGCCGAGCAGCAACAGCTTTCACATGGCTGAACAGAGTGAAGCGTCATTCAGCTGTGAGCAAACCAGAGCTTCCTTCAAAATGAACGTTTACCGCCCTGCGTTAAAGTCCCTTAGATCGTGAGAAAACTGTAGGTAGTCCACTGACAATGACAAGTAAAAAGGGATTAGGACACTCAACCACAGCTGCTTGTTGCATGGTTGCATAGCTTCAGAAAGCCCTTCCCTCCCCCCACACACCTTTCTGATGTCAGATTAGTGAGACTGTGTCCAACCGTTCACTCTGTGATCGGCCAGCTAGCAACAATCAGAGGAGATTTTCTCCAGAAGAGGAAAGTTCATCAGCGTGAAAGTCTTCCAGCTCATTGTAAAGAAAACCAAACTGTTGGACAGATTAACCACATACTGAACTTTTGACCTGAGGATCAGCAACATTCACAAAGAACATGAATGTGTGCACCAAGTCGCATGGAGATCAGTACGACACATGTCACCATGAGGATGAGAAAACCCCAGAGCGTCTCCATCATCCAGCAGCTGATGAGATATTCAGACTGGCTGGTCGACATTAGAAAGCTTCATGCTATGAGGTTAAAATAAACACAAACGCCTGCTCTGATTCAAATAAAGGCCTGGAAGCAAATACACAGTTTGTTAATTTACAGTAATAAAAATATTGTAAAGGTAATGCATGTTTTCAATCTGACATCTATGGGTCACTGACATGGACTTAAAAACACAATTCAATTTATTTACCCTTCATTTCATGGTTAGAAAACTCAGATAAAAACTCTGATACCATCTAAAGTTTCATATATTTTGTATTAGATCTTATTCCAGCTCTTTGTTGAAGCTTTATAATGTTAAATATTCAAACAAGAGAAATATTCCAGATGTGTTCAGAATCATTTTAAACACATCTCCACAAAGAAATCAATCCTGATGTTTTTACCATCTTTGGAAACTTTTATTTCTAAGTTTTGTGTGTTTGAACAAAGTTTGGCTGCACAGCATGAGTTTGTAATGTCTGACCATCAATCTCCTGTGGTATTTGCATGATGAAGTAGCCCTGTTATAGCTGGTTGATTTATAGCCGGGAAGGTCAGCTTATGATTGGCTGATCAATTGCCTCCATATTTCTTTCAGTCTTTCAGATCATAAAGCTCGTGGCCAAGCGAGAGTCTGTTGTGATGTATTTCTGGTTCAGAAAAACAAACGGCCGCCGCCATGACGGACTGAGTGTCTTGTTAGAATGAAACTGAGAAAAAGCAGCGCGCAGATTTCACAGTGGACTCCCTCAGTAACAGGGAGAAACACACAGCATGAAACCCACACATACACACACTCTGCGTCTTCGGTGAGTCTCTGTCCTTTAATCGAGCGGAGCTGTAAGATGAGACGCTGCTGTTTCTGCTGCAGTGAGCGTTGTGCTGGGCCCGACAGATCCCAGAGCAGCCTCTCTGCCAGTCAGCCGAGCCGGAGCCAGACGAGCTGCTGGGTGGACCCTGATCCCGGGTCAGTGCCAGAACGGCGAGGCTGATGGGTACTGTGAATAATTGATGGCGTTATGAATGCACCACAGGATCTGGAGCCTGGCTGGTGGCGCTTTTGGCCTCCTGCTGGCCGACATGACGGCAGAAATATCTCGGAAAAGACGGGGGGGATGTGACACGGCAGAAAAAGAAAGAGGCGGAAAAAAACAGAGATGGATGCTGGCACAGTAAACTGCCTCATGTCGCACTTCGTCTGCGTCGGCCTTGTTGTGTTCAAGGTTAGATGTGTAACTCCTGTTCTTCTGGGAATTAGACCTGTCTCCCATCGCGGAAATAAAACAACAGAGCAGTGACACACACATATAAACACACACACACGCACACACACACACACACACACACACACACACCTGTAGCACATTTACAAGCCAAAACCAGCAGCAGTTTATAAACACAACTTGAGTGTGTGTGATCTCTCAGTGACGCGTTCGTCACTGTCAACAAACAGAGCGTCTCTGAACCCTGATGAGCTTCAGAGACAAAGCGCTCAGCAGCTCCTGCATTGCAGCCTCCACACCCTTTTCCATCCACTGCCCTTCTCTTTTCTTTTGCTCCATCACTTCATCTCATCTCCCTCTTCATCCTCACTTCATCTGCTCTTTTTCCGCAGCCGCCCTCTTCTGCTTTGTCGTCCCTTCCCTTTCATCACATCCCACCATCCCCCTCTTCCTTTTCCCCCTGACCTCCAGACCTCCTCGCCAAACACCTCTCCTCTCTTTTCCTCCACTCCCAGCCCCCATCATCAGTATCCACCCGTTTGTTCTCCCCCGTTCTACATCTCAAACCAACCCTCCGCTGACATCATCACAATCATTCTCCTTCTTTCTCCATCATCTCATCAACAAAACCACCTCCCATCATACTCACCCTCCGCTCCGTCAGGCGGTCCTCCCCATGTCCATCGTTTGGGTCTGTTATCCAGGTGATCCCCTCCACCTCCTCCTCCTCCTCCTCCTCCGCCTCCTCCTCCTCCACCTCCTCCTCTTGTCTCTGCGCCCCCACCTCTCCGGCGAACCAGGGCCTCCAGCCTCTCCTGCTCGTTGCGTTCAGAAACAGGGAAGAACAGACACTCTCTCACTGAGCCATCGCTACGGCGACGGACGCCTGGCGATGCGCTCGGAGACAGCTGCGCCATGGTTACCGCATACATCCGCAGCAGCCTCACCCCTCCGTCCTATTCGCGTTCGTCTGCTGGCGGTCACCAGCGCTCGATCGCTCGCTCGTCTGTCACTCAGTGATACATTATACAGCAGCTCTCTCTCTCTCTCGCTCTCTCCGTCTGCCGCTCCCTCTAGGTAGCACTGATTCCCTCTCTCTCTCTCTCTCTCTCTCCCCTACCTCACAGTTGTTCACCCCACCCTTCCTCTCTCTCTCTCTCTCTCTCTCTGTTTATACCTCGATCTCCCTCTCTCTCTCTCTAATGTCTGAGTCTATTTCACAGAGCACTTTACAGGAGGGGACAAAATGCAACCAGTCACCACCCCCACGCACACACACACACACACACACACACACACACACACACACACACAGACTGAGTGGGTGGACTGGATATTGATACTGGTTGCATTTGCTTTATCTCCAGTCTCCTTCACTCTTTCTACCCTCCTCTGCCTCCTTCCTCCATCCTGTTTACAAGCTGTAATTTCATAAAAATACACAGAAATCACAAAAAACAATAAAACAATAAATGTGACACATGATAAAATATTTCAGTCGGTAAGATAAACCTTTTGTATATTTTTTGTATGAACTACCCCCTTTATATCATGGAGGGTTGACTAAGCATGAGAAACATGCAGGAGAGTTCAACAGCACTGCAAACTGCATCCACCAAAATGTCAGTGAAATTGAATCAACGTCTCTAACCTACTGAAACCTTCGTGACAGCAGGATTCATCACAGGGCTGTTGAGTAAGACTTTATTAGTTTTAGATATGTGTATCTAATAAACTGTCAGCTGAGTGGACACTAGGCTGTGTCTTGTTCTTACTCGGACATGCTAATACACAATAATGATAAAGAGCAAAAACAACATGCCTTATCCATAAATAATCCAGAGGCCTTTCTGTAATTTCTGCCTTTAAATTTGGGTTTTCACTGTTTAATGAACAAAGATCTTAAAAGTCTTTCAGGGTTGTAGAAGTCCATCTTGTCCTTATGCTCTTATAAGGAAGACACAGTGAGCTATTGTCAGATCTGGTGACGACACAGTGTCTAATCTATTATTCAGATATGTATTAATATCAGATAATTAAAGGGATTTCATGGGTTATTACAGGGTTTCTGCAGGTTCACCAAATTAAATGTAAAGCCTTTTTAATACCATATGGGATGAAATTTAAAACCTGTTTCACGATCAGACCAGTTAAAGTATGAAGTATGATAGAATAGAAAGGTGATGTCATATCATTGATCCAATTACTGCATATTGAAAATGGATGAATGGATTAAGTAAGCAAACATTTGTTTATTTACTCATCCAACAGTTACACAGCAACATGATCATTTATATGGAGTCATGTTTGTGTCACATGATGAATCTCAGTCCAGTGTTCCCGCTCTTTCTTTTATCTCTGTGTTTGGTCTCCACCAGCTCCAGAGGGAAACATCTGGCTCTTTAGCTGCTAAATGCTCCACTATGTTCACCAGCTGCTCTGTAGAGGACAGTGGCTGTTTACAGATGTTTCTCTGAAAACATCTGCCTGCTGACGCCATGAGAGTGAAGCAGAGCAGCAAAGTGTCCAGACAGATAAACAATGAGCTGAAACTCTGTAAAGCAGAGTGGAGCTTCACGGTGATAACTCACACATTATAAATATATCGATCACAGCTGCTTTAAGTTCATTTACGTTTTTAAAATCAACACTTTACTAAAGCTTCTTTCACTAGTGACTCCTGCAGCACAGAGCACCGTCACAACCATCACCACTTTTAGTTTATAGGTGAGTGACCTCTCCTAACAGCTGACAACCACGCAAACGACAACACGACCACCTACAGCAGGCAGGAGACATGAGTCAACACCTTTGGAACATCATTGAAACTTAATTAAAGGATTTTAAGACTTTTAAAGACCTGCAGAGACTCTGTATTATGTCTTATCATTATACCGATCAGTCTCCACCTTCTTCTTTGTTTCAGTAGCGGATATTGATTGATTACTATGTAAATATCTCATTGCCCTGCTGCGTACAATACCAGTTACCTTTAAAGGAATCACTTGTGCCTTTACAATTATCCAGACATCTGTACTGCACAGCTGTGATACTGATGAAGGCTTTGTGAATAAAGTAACATCTCATCACTGAGTGACTCTCCTCTGCTGTAATTTGGGTGTGGCGTGAAAATCCAGTTCAAAATCCAGCAGCAAGAATTCCAGTGGATGGTTAAAAATAAAAAGCACTTTAAATAAATATGGGCTCATACATTATAAAAATACACGAGTACAGTTGTCTTCCAGATGTCTCATTTGTACGTTAGCTCTTTAAGGTAATTGATTGGAGATATTTTTTTAAGTATATTTAGTGATGTGTTTATTCTATTGTATATTGTTCAGATTTTTTATTTGTTATTGGTTTAATATTTCCTTCTCTCTGCTGATTGGTGCCTATGATCATATGCAGACATTAGTTTGTTGTTGCAGGGCCAGAAAAAGAAATAAAGAGACGACTCTTTCTCTTTTGCTGTGTCTATCTTCCACCTTCTTCCTCTCATACTGGTTTTTCAATCAGTGACTATTAATGTGGTGGTGTCTGTGAGCAGACAGCAGCTGCAAACACAGTAATTGCCCAATATAAAGCTGATACACTGCTCTACAGTACTGTTTATTTATAAGGGACGGAAAGGCCCCACCTCAGCATTGTGGGGGGTTTGCTGAAGGTGCATGCAGAGTCACGCACTAACTGCAGGAGGGAGGAGAGTCGAGGGGAAGAGGGATTTAAAGGGAGAGAGGGAGGCATCAGAGATGAGAAGAGAGGGAGGGAGTGGTAGAGGTGGACGGAGGTATAGACGTACTGTAGATAGAGATCAAAGTGGAACTACAACAGAGGGGAGAGCAGGATGGAGGAGCAGACTGCAGCCATGACTCATTTGCTGCATCTCGGTTCAGGACTGTAGGAGAATCTGACTAACACTGACACAGTAATACAGCATAGAATATACTATATATATATATATATATACAGTATAATAAGTATACAATAGCATGTCCCACAAGGGGTGTGCAAGCTAATTGAACCTCTCTTTATTAACAGTTTGCAGTTTTACACAGTTCCTCAATTATTAAATCTGCATTTGTTTTATTTATCAGGGGCAGTGCATTAATCAACATTAATTAGCAGCAAATGTTCTGGAGTGAGTCGTAATGGACTAATTTACATCTGCAATGCCTTATCAAAATGTTAAATGACCCTCTCTGTCGAGATGAAAAACACGACAAACTACAGTATTAACTGCGATTAGAGACACCACATCACCTGCATCACACTGACTGACACTTTAAACAGAGAACAGGTGAACTGTCTGACAGCCGGAGACGACCAGCACTAAAGACACAAACTGATCCAGGACCGCTGTGACGATCCTGAACCAATCTCCCAAGAACAAGGAGCTTTTCAAACATGATCCTCCGCTGATTCACATTCTGTACGTGCGACTTCAGTCGTATAGAAAAGGTTTTGAATTTGAACAAAAGCTGCTGTAAATTTAGTTATTTTGAGGTAAAATAATCACAAAGCAACAATGTACAGCTGAAACGATTAGTCACTTGATTGATTACTTTGTTGACAAAAAATATATTAGCAAATATTTTAATAATTGATTAATTGTTAAAGATTTTTTTCAGGCAAAAATGTAAAAACTGTGACTGTTGGCTGTCACCATGGGCTCCCAGAAATTCTGGTGGACAAAAAAATTTATTGATTAATCCATTAAATACTGATCAGATAATAATGAAAACAACTGCATATGCAATAGTTGTATCCCCACCACAATCCTGGTGCACTGGACAGTAATAAACTGCAGACTGTCTACTGCAAACAGAGCCAGAACTGCTACTATATACTGAGAGAACATTGAACTGCAATAATTTTGGAAGTGGGATCATTGTTTAAATTATTTATCAAGCAACAATGTCAAACAGTTTGTGAGAATTTTCTTTGATCTCTCTCACTTTGAAATGAATATTTTGGGGGTTTTGAGCTGCTGGTCAGACAAAACAAATAAGACGCCAGATGTTTGACAGACACACAGCCGAGTCTGACGCGACATGAACAAGCAAATAAGTTCCACAAAGAAAAACATTCAAATAAAACGTTCAAGGTAAAAAATCCAAATGTTCAAATTAAAATAGTCTAAAAGCCAAGGTGAAACACTAAACCATTTAAACTGATGAAGAGGAATCAAAATAATAAAAACGATCATTAAGAAATTGCAGCCCTAACTGTAACTAAAGTTTAGTACAGTAAATATCTATAATAAAAGACTAAATCAACATCAGATTTAAATCCTATGTTAAGTCTTGTGTGTGTTCTTCTATATAATCTGGGTCACATTGATTCTGCAGATTTTTTCTTCTCACAGGAGAAATATGTGCTTGTCACAGCACTGCGAGCATCGACTGTCTGTTCCAGTAATCGGCACATGATACAGTGATGTCATCTCCCTGTGAGACTGACCGATCATTATGTCATTACATTATGCATATGAGTGTGTGGAGGGGAGGGGAGGGAGGGGGCTGTTAGCATGCAAACAGAGGCTTTAAATCAATAGAGACGGTGACCCCCACCCCTCTTCTCCTCCAATCCCCTCTGAGAGGTGAATGGTGAACCCCCCGTGGACACGACTGTCACTGACTCAGGGCTCGTTAACCCTTCGTGTGCTGCTCAGCGTTTGAACAGGCGCTAATAATTTATGCTCTGACGGGGCTGTTGCACAATCGCAGCAGATAATTCATGCTGGACGCTAAAAACAGATCAGAATAATATGAGTCACGTGACGCCCACTCATGACTCACACACAGCAATGAACAAAGTGAGGAGTCTTGTTCATGTGTGAAGCTGCTGCACCAGTAAAGCTGAGCAGACGCTGCATGTTTTTATTCAATAACTCACACATCACGCTTTAATCAGCTTTTCTGTACAGCCAGAACCGGTGACCTTTACACACACACACACACACACACACATATATATATATATATATACATATACAGATCAGCTGACCGACCAGGACAAGGAGCTCACACTGAATATTAGCACAAAACCTCTGAGATGTAAAAGTACGTCGTTAGGACCCTTGAATAACTGCCTCTGCAGCGAGTCTAATGCAGAAAACCACCCAAACTTTTCACGTTTCACTTGAACGCACACAATTGGTCAGCTGACAGAAAGTCATTAGAGCTTCTGCATTAATTACTTGCTATTTCCTTTAAACTCCGGTTCAGCCTAACAGCAGCTGGAAACACAGCGAGTCGGTTATGGATCGACTCAATTAATTCAGTGGTGGAGAGCAGAGAGAGAAAAATGGTGAGAGGGTGAAGGATCACGGGTGTCTGATGTCTTTCATCACAGTTTCATCCTGAGACCTTGTTTCCGAGTCAGAGTTCGTGAACGTGAACAACAGATTGATGGAGAGTCAAGATGAAGGGGAAGTAGACACAGTGTTGTTGTCTCGACCTCCAGATGAACTGAATCTTGATGCTATGATCACATTATGTGACTGTTTCACAAAATGATGTCGTCTAAATGAATTATTATAAACAAATTGTCTTTTGAAAATTGACTAAATAAGAAGTTGACGTTGTTGATTTACTTGTGTGAAGAGGTTTTTCTAATGCAGCACAAAGGAACAGAGTTCATTGCACAGATCATCTATTTGAATAATGTTATGTCAATTTGTAATAGTTTATTGTTGTGGGTAACATATAAATATAATAAAACATTAATATTATTGTGTGTTATTTAATATTGTGATATTATTTTTAACCATATCACCTGAGAGCCAACTGGACAAAAACATTCACATCATCCTCCGACCAGCTGTCTGCCACATACATAAATACTTATATATATATATACTGTATACACTGTATACACTGTATATTCACTCTAACAATTCATTTGACTTCATCAAGTAAAATGTTTACAAGATCTTTGAACTGGATTTGGAAACTTTGACAAACAGGGTTCAGTATTAATACTTGGTCAGATCTTTGTTGACTTCTTTCTTCGTGCCTGATTTAAATCATAATTTTGTTAATTTTATACATTTTAACTTGGATAAGTTAATGTAACTGTTTATGTCAATAAATCGATCTACAAATGAACCTTTAATACAAGTGAGATACAAGGATCCACATCCGTAGTTTACGAACTTCTGACAAGGTGTTAAGGTGGATGTCATGAAGTCTGCGCTTCGACCCCAACAACAAAATGTCTTTCTGATCTCCCACCTCTTCTAATGAGCAGTGAAAGCATCATTAGTGTGCTGTGACCTCTGACCTTTTCTGCCTCTTGCTTCTGCCGTCTCTTCTCCTCAGCCGCCGCCCTGCGCTGCTGCTCCTTCCTCCTCTGCTCCTCCATCTTCCTCCCTCGCTCCTTGGCGGAGCGCTCCAGCTGCTGCTGCGCCCGAAGCTGCTTATCCCGCAGCACGTCCGACAGCTCTGCGCACACACACACGCACGCACGCACACACACACGCACACACACACATAGTGATGCACACGAGGGGAGGACTTTGGGAGGTTGTGTTTTGAGGAGGTACAGTCTTTTAATGGTCAGAATGAGCAGAGGAGATGGTTCCAGGAGGTAACGACTGCTTCAGGGTTGTAATGGGCTTCTAGCTTTTGTTTCAAGACAGACATGAAAAATTGTGGATCCATCCTTTAAACCCCCAAATGACCTTGGAGTCCTCAATTATGGCTGCGGCTCTGAATGTAAAAGCCTTGTATCTCCAAAATGTCATCTTTGCACTCGGCTGAAAAACAGCTCAACGACACAATCAGCTTTAGAGATTACCAAGAGAAATTTCTCTCTTTTCCTCTCTCCTGTTTTCTTCTTCCTAATTTCCCTCTTGCATGACCTTTTTCTGTCTTTTGTTCTTTCCTTTTTTTATTTAAATCAGTTCTGCCCAGAGACACTTCAGTGACTAACTGATTATTTTGATAATCTAACAAACAACATTCAGAGGTTTCAGCTTCTGAACTGTGAATATCTCCCGGTTTCTTCAGTCTTCTATGATGTTGAACTGAATATCTTTGTGTTTTGGACTGTTGGTCCAATAAAACATGACATTTGAAGACGTCACCTCGGGATTTAGGAAATTCTGATCAGCATTTTTTTTAAACCGTTTTCTGACCTTTAATAGACCGGACATCTTATTGATTATTTGAGAACTGTCACCTGCTTCATCTCCTCCTTTGTTTCCCTTGTGTTTCTTGTTTGTTTCTCTCTGTGTTTGTGTGTGTGGGTTTTCTGGGCGTGGCCTTTTGGCTCCTTCCTGCCATTCCACCTGCACATCTGTTCCTGACTCTGCAGTATATAAAGACCGGCTCTACACGCCACTCTTGGCCAGTGCATCCGTTTACCCATGTGGATTCAGACGACCCTTGGCCTGTCCTGTATCCTGCCTCACCCAGGTCACCGGTTCACCTGCAAACACCAGCTCAACATCCTGTACACAGCCTGCTCGGTCTCAACCATCGCTCCTGGTCCAGTCACCTGTGATGCTGCCTGAACCTCTCTCCGCCTGAACCGGTCCAAACCCAGAACCAAACGCCCAGAGAACTCAAAAATAATCATTATTATTGTCAATATTCCAACTCGCCTTCTTCACAATGAGTGTTTTTACTTTGAGTAAGATTATATACTAATATAACTCTTTTTCCTAAGGTAAATATTAATAAATTTGTATTTCCCACTATATTTCACCACCAGCTCGTACACACCAGCCCACGCTGTACCCACACTGTGTTTGTGTGTGTGCCAGGGACAGACGAGCAGGACAGACCCCATAGAGCCCCACCAGCTGTAGAGTTACTCATACCTTGTGTCTTCTCTCTGTCCTCCCGTCGCTCTTTTGCTAAGTGCCGCCGCGAGCCTTCAGACAGGTGAAGGAAAGATTAAGTGATTAGTTCATTTATCACTCCGAATGTAAAACATAAAAACACAGAATCAACTAAAAACAAACTAAGAGTGTAATTCAAACGCTGCTTGTACTTGCAGCTGGGTGATTTCTTCATCTGCATTTCGTCATATTTTGTTTTTGTTCTGATCTGGATTGTGAAGCTAATGTAAGAAAATCAAAGAATGCAACCTGATTAGAAGTTTACCTGGAGGGCTGTTGTGATTGGATGGCGATCGGGCAGGTGACGCATTCCTACTGGTGTGCAGCGGCGCAGGAGGGGGGGCCAGCGCTGTGTTTTTTGGAGAGAGGAGTCAGACATGATTCATGCAACGCCCACTGAGAGGCAAATACAGCTAAAAAGATAAAGCTGGAGTGATGAACGGGACTCCTGCATGCGTCAATCACACACACTTGTCATGGCGTCCCAATGCAATAAATCTCCTGTCAGTCATCATGTCACATTTAGGGTCAGGTGTCAGTGTAGGACCCCTGAGCATAACCCTCAGCCCTTCTCCTGCAATGTTTTTATTTCTCAATCTGTCAATCTGACATAAAAGCAGCCTGAGAAAATCTATCGACCAACTGCGACGACTTCACACCAACACCAGAGAAATCTAAAAAAAGCTCATCATCACACACACACACACACACACATACACACACACACACATACAGCCAGTAGATGTGCAAATATATGCAAATCTGAGCTAAGTCCTGAAGTGTCCCATGGGTTCTGCTTAGCTTCATCTTCAGTCAAAATTACATCACAGGCAAAAAAAAAAAAAAACATAAACCAGCTGAATCACATGTTTTTAAGGATTTTACTTCCTCCTTTCAGTTGAGGTACATGACATGTATGACCATAGTGCTGATTATAAGATGCTGCATCAGTAGAGGAACATGCAGCAGCAGTCAGCCTGTCAGTCAGTGAACAGGGATGTAGTGGAATGTGTGAATGAGAATATTTAATGCAGGGTATTAAAAAAGAGCATCTATAAGGAAAAATACATATGTTTTGAAATAGATGCCAACACATTTTTGATTAGAATATACTGTATATTATAAATGCCATGAAATAAATCACGTATTTTTGTATTATTCAACCTATATATAAAATGCAGTAATATATTTTATATTCTTGTATGTGTTACAGATTCATATATGTAAATTTTCCTACATTAAAAAAACCATTTATGCCAATATTTAAAAACCAATGATCCCCATACACCCACAATCTCCATGAATGAAAACCTACCTTAATCAATTATGCTGACATCATCCTTAAAAACATAACATATCAAATACAAAGCACAGCATTACATTGAGACATCTAACAGGGTCTTTAAGGGGAAATTCATTGTATTTTAGGAGCGTAATTCAGTCCATTTCCTTACAGATTTAGTGTTAGCATCTGTGTGCAACTAAATTGAAAACCCCATTCAATTTATTGGGAATAACTGCATTTTCCTCACCTGTCATGTCAGGGCGGCTCGGAGCCACTTCAGTCATCTTAACGGTCGTTCTTTTTCGCGACCTGACAGGCGCCACAAAACCGTTAAAACCCTCAGGAGACCTGCCGGTGTTATACAGCACAATGACTCAGGAAAAGACGGGTGGAAAGAAAAAATACGACGCTGAGAGCTTATGGTAGAGAGACGGAGGGAGGGAGGGAGAGCCTATAGCGTAGCTTTCATGATTTTATGTTCGTTTTTGTCAGCTAAACCTCCATCACTCCCAAAATCGTAGCCATTTTTGAATTTTGAAAGAGAATTAACGGTTGGTCCTACCTCAAGAATTTAAATACTGTTGAATATATCATAAAAATTGAAATATTAATTGTTCTACGTGGCTCTACGTGTCTTTTCGTGTATTTTAAAAAGAAAAATACACTTATGGAGGATGAATTAAATCAATTTTTCGTCGTGCGTCAGTCTATTTTTATTTTTCTCGTTGCTTTTTAACAAATACAAATCTGCAACCGCCTCACATTTGGCTAATTTAAATATTAATGCGCAGAAAATCACCACTCACGCCGTTATGCGTTGCCTAGCAACCAGGTATACCGCTGCCAAAGAACTATACAGCTTGGCGGAGGAATAAAACCTACAAAAATTACATTTGAACTCTTCTAGGGAGTTTTCAGATCCTTTACTTAACCTAAAGTGCAAATATTACACGGTAAAACACTCAGTTTTTCATTGACGTAAAGTATATAATTAGGTTTATAATCTGAAATTTGTAGTATTAAAAATTAAAAGTAGGCAGTTCTACTCAAAGCAGAGACATGCAAACTGCACAGACATGAAAATTAATTTTAAAAAATATTAAAAGGAAAAACCATCAAATTTAAAAAGCTGGAATTTTTAAATGTTTTCATGAAAAATGACGTAATCGATTATCAATTAATTTGATGTCAATCGACTTATTCGTTTCCACTGTACTTGTATGTATGGGGCGTATTTTATGCAGTGGAGTATAAGTACAAAGTGAGTCAATTACAGTTCAAGTACCTCAAATTTAAATACAGTAATTGACTAAAGGTATTTACATTCCACCAGTGCAATTACAACAGCCTTACTAATATTTATACTCACTGTTTTATTATCACCATTGTGGATGCTCTCTCTCTCCCTCCCTCACGTGGCTCTCTGGCTCGTGTCAGAGCTCACGTGCCAGGCACAAGCGAGCCCCAGCAGCGGTGTTACGTCATTGTTACGGCAAACTGAGGCTGGCTGCTGTTGACATGCAATATGGGTCAGTGCTGTTTGCAGTCAGCTCACACACACATGCAGGTTCACTGAGTCATGTCAGATGACAGCTATATAAATAACTACAATAAATACTGTACTGGAGATATACTATAATGAATCATGACCTCATACAGTTTCTGATTAAATCTTAAAAATTGATATATTTAAATAAGACCAATAGCATTACTATAAAAACTTAACTGAGTCCGTAACATCTGAATTACCAGGAGGGTCCAGAAAGCATAATCCTGGACCCTTTACTTGCAGTTATCATTAGATAAATACAGGTAAGCCGCTGCAGGTCTGGATCATACTTTTCATCTAATTGACAGGGTCATAAATCAAAAGATCAATAAGTAGAAAATACTACTGACATTGCATTTTAAAAAGTGACACTGAAAAAAATCATTGGCATACAATATTAAGACACTTTGATCTTCAAATGTGGCTAAATCAATATTAGTAAGTATAAGTAAAATCAGAAAGAGATCACTTTTAAAACGCGTTTAAATCTGTGGCAGGATTTCCCTTCTTGAGCATCAACCTCAGAACTTGTCAGTAACGTTTGATTTGTGGGGAGAATTCAGAAAATGTGCATATTTTGGGAGAGAAAACTAGATATGATCTAATTAAAAAACAGAACAAGTAACAGTATCAGCAAATGTCAATTACAAGCCACAACACAACGACAAACACCAGGTAAGTCAGGGGTCGGGCTCAGGTACCGAGCTGAGGCCCACATCAGCAGGGCTTACTCCTGCCGGTTATGTTTTATCTCCTCTCTAATGACAAAAGCAGCATCAGGACAGGCTTGTCGTCGTGGCCCGTCAACACCCAGTGGCCCTGGATGTTCTCAGCTGTGAAGGGCATGAGTCCGGCTAACCCCAGAGCTCCTTCTGTTTTAGCTCAATCTTGCCACCGTCAGACCGGCACAGGAAGTGCGTTAGGCGCCTAAGAACCACTTTGCCAGGTCAGTGGAGTTAAGATCTTTATTGGAAACCCAGCCTTCAAACATCATAGTACATTTTTTTTTATTAATTCAGAGTTACAGCAACAACAGCAACAGGCCCCATGTGGTCTAGAGCAGTGGTTCCCAAACTGAGGTGCTGGCCCCCCCCTCAGGGAACATGGGGACATTTCCAGAGGAGGGAAGAAGGAAAATAGATATAATGTATTGAATATATATCAGTTATTTGATATTCTAGAGGTTCAGAGAATAAGTAAGACAGATGGCTCTGCTGTGAGGTTTTACTGGTGTGGATCTGTGGTGGAGAAGTTTGGGAACCGCTGGTCTGACGTGAGACGGAGCGGGCGGCCGGGGCCGAGCTTCACTGTGTGTTGAAGCCACAGAGCGAGCAGCGAAGAGTTCAAAACAGAACATGGAAACACAAAAAAAAAAGAAAAAAGAAAAAGACAGAAACACAAATAAGGGCAACAACAGAAAAATACATTTGATTTTCCTTTTGATTTCAGGGGAAGGGAATCGTCTTCATTCGGCCGCGGTTCAATTCAATTTTACTGTAATGCGTCGTCAGAGAGATATGAAGTTGACAAAATGACAAACCTTAAAGATTCAGAGCCATACTCAGTGTTATTGTCTTTCTTCTATCATTAATAAACAGCTTTCAAACTGTCTTCAACTTTATAAACTGTCTTACAGGCTACAGCTACAATGATACAGACTGCCAAAGGAAAAAAAACACAAAATGGTTTATCTTTTTATTGGCGAATCCAGAGATTCTGTACTTGTTGCTAAATTCCACATAGTGTGAAATCAATATAAATACATTTTTAAAAGATGACGCATTTGGTGCGAGATATTTTGCAGTCATGGTATCGGAACGAGCCTCTACAAAACAGTGAGTGTTTGGACTATACCAGGAAAAAATAACAGAAGAAGAACTCTGTGAGTGAGATGGCAAATTCGCCATTTTGTTGATGTTAGAAGCAAAAAGGTAAAAATCTAGTAATGCTCCAGATATTCACCCAAATATGATGCTGGTGATCAGCCTACTCTGATTCTCCAATCCAACTGCATGAAGGCAGAAAGGGGAAACTGTCTGCGTCATCATCAGTCACCAGGCAGCCTGCTGCATCGCCCTCCAGTTGCTACGAGTGATAACTGAGACAGTCGTCCTGAGGCAGCATCTCTTTTTCATTCATCCTAACAATAAACTCAAAGTACTAAAGTCTTTTTTCTTTTTCTTACCCCTATGTGAAATGCACTTAAAGTTCTCCAAACAACAAAGACTGATGGTAAACAAATGGAATAAATTGAAACATACTGTAATGTAATAAACTGTATTGGATTGGCATAGGCTGATCTTAATAAAAATAATTATTATTGGTGTGTTGTGACGGCTCAAAATATCCCAATCGGAGCATCTCTAGTAAAATCCCACCTTCCCCCTTTAGTAGCAGGTCTTTAGATCTGGAAAGAAAAGAGAGAAAACTCAATTATTTCAACTTGTATTCTTGGGCTGTGGTGAATTCTAACAGGCATTTTGTACTCTCACATTTTAGACTAAACACAAGAAAATAAGTGGAGAGATAAGAAAAAGATAGAGAAGGTCAATCGTTAAATTAAAAGGGACTTACATCATCAATGTCCTCATCATCATCGCCAATGTCATCAAACTGGATCTCATCATCGTCTCCAGGCCCGAAGGTGTCTGTCTCATTGATTTTGGCTGTGAGAAGAGAAGACAGAGAAAGATGTTGAAGAGGAAACACTAAACTACATGTTCATGAATCAGAAAACCATAATGTTTCTACTATATTGTGATGGACTGACAACTGAAAATGACATGAATGCAAAATGCTGCATGTTAGAAGAGGTTGTAATAAAGATCAGGGAAATGAGGACCTCTGCTGTTTAAAGTCGGCAACTGCACGTATTACTTCACTGATTCCACAACTACAACAACGTGATCCTGATAAACAACGAGCGACAGAGGACCGATGTGGACTGAAGACGCTCAGACAGAGTTTACCTCAGTGCAAACCAGTCTATAAATAAATTCCTGGTTGTGTGTTCGTGTGACGCGTCCTCCTACTCACCGTGCTCTGGCAGCTCTCCGTAGGCTTTCAAACTGCGAGCCTCGTCCGCATTGTACTTGAGGATGACGTCAGCTTTGTTATCCTGAAACACATGTTGTGGTATGAGACGGAGGCACCGCATTGTTCAGGGCGACATGTTTTATAGATCGTAATACTAACAAAACTTTCAACACGCTGGGTCGACTGAACATAAATACAAATACATGCATTGAAATTCTCCAGGAGGTATGAAATGATGAAAATCAGTGAAGCCCCGTTTTAAAAAGGAGTGTTTCTAGCTGAGATTTCAAAGAAAATACAGAAGTAGCTGTGGAGAGTGAACGGTCGATCTTTCCACAGTTTAAATGCCATGAGAGGAAATGCTCCATCACTCGTGATGGCAAATCTAGATTTAGGAAATGTGACAAGGGCTTTTTCTGCTGATCTAAGCATGTGTCCTTGTACGTAAGAGCTTAGAAGGAGCAAATAATATCATTAATTAATCATTAAACATCAGCTAGATGAGTGGCGGAAAATTAATTGATTGATCTATTCATCTAAGGGCCAAATGTATTTACATAAATCTGGAATCCGACAGTTTCAGACAGTGTTTGCTAAAATCAATCATTTTTATAAGAATTGTTTGCAGCTTTGTGAAGAGAGTGAAGGGAAGACAGCAACAGGACATGTGGCCCGTCGCCACAGTGACAGTCAATACAGTGTCAACAGTCTGATCTGTGTCATGTGTGAGCGACC